GGTCAAACATGGCCTTCGCAGTTGTGGAGAGCGGCTAGAACCGCGGTTCGAACCGGCATGGAGAACCCGGCGATCCAGTCCGGTTCCGACAGGTTCTTCTGGAACCTCGGCCGGTTCTGGTTCCTAAATTCTGGAACCGGAACCGATAACCTGGACATTTTTCCGGTCGGGTTCCGGTTTCGGTTCGGCCCGGTTCCGGTTCTTATCGGTTCCGGACCGGTTCGAACCGACGGTTCCGGTTCCCGGAACCGTAATATGGCCATGTCTACAAAGATGTGATTTGTCCACGTACACCTTCTTCACCGTTACTTCTTAGGTAACAATGCATTTGATAATTCCTTTCTTACCCCTTTTTAATTACTTCCTTTCTAAAATTTAAAAGGGAATAAGGACTCTCAAATCTAAGTAATTGCGGTTTTTTTTTATAAATAAAACTGAAAATTTACTAATAAAAAAAAGTATATGAAAATTATAATATGCCTAGAATACGAATGACACAATAAATATAAACAACTGAATTTTTTTTTTATTTGTAGATTATTTTAACTATAGTGTAATGAAATGTAATATAATCCATATCATCCATATTTTTAAATATAAGTCCCTCTGAAAAATCAACAATTATTTTGTTAGTCTTTATTTCAGTCAAATAAATCCCTATCTGTTTGGGATACTTGATTTGTTTTGTTTGTTAACATCTTCCAGATTTTTGGTGTTTCTGTTAATTAATTTTCTGCATTTCAGTTCTGTAAAGCTATATAAATAGCTATGCTGTATCAAGTTAATAATATCATCAGATTCTTCTCATAATTCTTTCCTCTTTCTTTCTTAATCTTCTTTAATTTAACATTTGGTATCAGAGCCCTTAGGAGGTTAGAAGTAGCAGTCTTCTATAAGTGTCTTTCTTCTTTTTTGTGATTCAAATATGACAACTGAATCTTCTTTTGTTCAACCAGCAATACCCAAATTTGATGGGCATTATGATCATTGTGCGATGCTCATGGAAAATTTCTTGCGCTCAAAAGAGTATTAGCACTTGGTAAAAGATGGAGTACCTGTAGCAGCAGAAGGAGTATCTTTGACAGACGCGCAAAAGAAAAGCTTTGAAGATCAGAAATTGAAAGACTTGAAAGCGAAGAATTTTCTGTTTCAAGCATTGGATCGGTCAGTCCTGGAGACAATCCTCAAAAAGGATACAGCAAAAGACATATGAGACTCTCTGAAGCAGAAATATCACGGAACAACTCGTGTTAAGCGTGCACAGCTGCAAGCTCTTCGAAAAGAGTTTGAACTTCTTCACATGAAGACTGGAGAAACTGTGAATGAATTTATTGCCCGAACTCTTACCATTGCTAATAAAATGAAAGCAAATGGTGAGGACAAGGGAGATGCTTGAAAGCAAATGGTGAGGACAGGGAGATGCTGTTTTGGTTTTTTTAGTCTGTCTGATGAGCATGCTCGGCAATTTGAATGCCATTCTGATAAGAAGCTATGATGCATATCTTAGATCACGTGGGTGTCTTCTGTTCTGTTAGGGCGGACCACGCTCTATATGTTATGAAAAGGTTGCGACCTAAGGCCATTATGAAATTAAGTATGAAAACTTACTGCTTCTCTTTCCTCCTAGTGTATGCGAGCCCTATGGAAAATATCGTGTAATACAAGAAACGAATGAAGACATATTATTTAGTAAACCTTACTTTTGGAAATTATGATTATGTTATCAAAATGAATTTTCAAAGCATGATACTTTCAGCTACATGGTAATGAAAATAAAAGAGTTATAATGTATGGTTATAGATGTTCAGAGGAATGAATGTTTTAATGTAAGCGAGATTTGAAAGAATAAATTATTTATGTTCTTAGTTTCTAGAGTTTATTTGAAAGAACCAAAGTATTTTATGATGATAAAATGTTTCTCTAAGCTAAAGGATTTATGGTATCAAGAATTAAAGAAAATATTTAATAGAAATATTAAACATACATAAGTATATTTATCGGACCAAATAATTTCGACTTCCGGACTCGTGGTAATATTCACAGACGGTGAACTTAACTTATTTCCCAGACACGAAAAGGGGCGTTACAGGTAGTCTTCTGTATCTCCACCGCAATTCGGCCGATATGATGTTGCTGTAAGTCTTATAAGTGAAATAACTGGATACGGTCACACTCAACTTCATTTACAGGCTGCCAAAAGGGTGCTTAGAATCTTGAGGCAAACTACAAAGATTTGGGGATTTTCTAACAAGACAGGGAGGGAGATAATGAGCTGGTTGCTTATCGACAGTGATTAATAGCCGAGATTTGAGGAATAGGAAGGCTACTTCAGGCCTATGTTTTCTTTTTAAGCTCAGGGAGCAAGTGTCTTGGTGTTCGAAAAAACAGTCAGTAGTTAGTTATCCACTACAGAGCGTAGATTGTAATTTCAGCTGCTGTCATGTGCATGCCAGCTGCATGGGTTTATAAGAATTTGAAGAAGCTGGATCCTAAGCAAGACAAGTCTAGTTATGATCGTGCGACAATAATTCTGCCAATTGTTGCGACAATAATTCTGCCATTAAGCTTTCAAAAAATCCAGTTATGCATGGACGAAGCAAGCATATAGATGTTCGGTTTCATTTTCTGCGAGAGCTACTAAAGCTGACACTGTTGAATTGGTGTACTGTGCTTCACAAGAACGACTGGCTGATATCATGACCAAGGCTCTCAAACTGGATGCCTTTTTGAAGTTGCGAGCTTTATTGGGCATATGTTCAAAGGAATCAATTATAAACTGATTGCTTAAAGCATTCAGTTTAAGGGAGGAATTGTTAGTCTTTATTTCAGTCAAATAAATCCCTATTTGTTTGGGATACTTGATTTGTTTTGTTTGTTAACATCTTCCTGATTTTTGGTGTTTCTGTTAACTAATTTTCTGCATTTCAGTTCTGTAAAGCTATATAAATAGCTATGCTGTGTCAAGTTAATAATATCATCCGATTCTTCTCATAATTCTTTCCTCTTTCTTTCTTAATCTTCTTTAATTTAACATATTCAACACAAAAACTAAAAAATCTAATTTTTCTTTTCGCTATTGTATCATTCATTGTATTTTAACGATCAATAATTTAAAAATCATGGTATATGTCTTTTTCATTTTTTTTTAAAAAAAAAGATTAAGTTGTCAATATTTGAATAATTAATATTGTGCATTACAAGATTAATAATAATCTTCTAAAAAAATAATAATAATAATAAGCGGAGGAGGAAAATGAAGCAATGATGGACCTTCTGAAAATTTGCTATAGGAAAAAGAAGACATTTTAATGACTCATTTTGTCTTTTTATTACATTTCTTTTACTAAATTTCATAACTCTAAATTTAATGTTAAATTTTTAAACTAGAATTTTCAAAAAATTTAATTTAATAAAAAGTAAAGGTTGTTTTGTTCCATGAAGTTCGGTGGTTGTTCATATAAAATTATTCATGTGGAAAAAAATATGCCAATGGAATTCCATTTGTGGGCTACTTAATGCTTTGTATTTCCTTTTTCATTTTACCTTTTGATGGAGATGAAAGGCAATTAATGTGTTGCAAAACTTGGAAAGGACCCACACTAAGCTTTTTCTTTTGTAATTCTCATTTTATGAGTTTAGAATACAAACTCTTAAAAAGAATAAAAAAATCAGTCAATCAATTTTTTTTAAAAAAAAAAAAAAAATAGAAATCAAGCAATAATTATTTGATAGTAAAATAAAAGGCAATAATATTGTGATAGTAATATCTATAGTTCGGTATAAATGTTTCACGACCCGTTTCCACAATGGCGCCGGACCGAGCCACAGATATCTGGGTGGGCTTAAAGCCCCCCGAAGCCCGTAGTAAGCCTGTATTACTTAAGGACTCGCATTCTAATTCACAATTGTGGATTCAGGCCCATAACTATTTCAACAAATATATCCAAAGTACAGTCTATAAGGTATCTGTACTTCTATTTATTCATTTACAGTTCATTATGGATACAGATTGTGGAACCCCTGGCATTTACATTTACATGATATTTTTCGAATCAATATCAATCTCTATCATAATGCCGTCAACGTCCATAGGCACTTCTTTTTTTCTATTTAACCTAAAAAAGAAATAGTACGGCAGGGGTGAGCGCTAACCAATGAGTAGGGGTTGATAACCTCTCACCCACACAATCACACAGATGCTAAAATATTTTTTTTTATTTGGTCATCCGATTACTTATATGATTATCAGTTTGTCCAAATGGCAATACAACAGCAATCCACTTATTATCACCTTCATATAATCATATCACGTGGAAATTAGTCAGTGGAGTCACTGAAACCCGATGAGCCGTCCTCCTACATGGCTCATCCACTCACATATGCACCAGGGAGCCAATCCCCCATTCTGGCCGACCAGTCTAATCCTCACATGACCAGTCCTCTCATTGTTTTTCCAGTCTCTTTTTTTTTTTATACCAACAGGAGGCAACCCGGTCGTCTCCATCAAATCTAGATCATCAGGCGCTCACAACAAAAGGCCACCCTGCGGACTACGATCAAATCTAGATTATCAGGTGCGCCCAAAGAGGCTACTCTGTGTTTAACGGTAACGGCAACGGTAGGTGCACACGGGGGCGCCGATCTCCCCCCATTTACCCGGCTAACGGTAAATCATAATCAGGATCCATATAACAGTAACAGTATTAACAAGGTTAACAGTTAATCAGAATCAGGATCCATATAACGGTAATGGTTCACCCCAAACCCATTGGTGGATTCACTTCATCCCAATTTCCGCACAAACAAAGCACAGTATTAGTCACAACACAAATATTCAAACAATTTTTTAATATTCAACAAATTAGTTTGCATCACAGTATTGATAATTCACAAAATAATGCCCTGATAACATTTTAAGCCGTGAATGAAATAATGCATGATAACATTTAGCCGTGAATGCATGAATGCAGGCGGATGATACTAGTTATCTAACACTACTCACAGTTTTTTGTTGTCCTTGAAAGGACTATCTTTATTATTGTACGCTTCCAGCATTTGTCTTCACCTTTCGGGACTTTATAAACATCTAAAGAAATAAGAAAATTCTATATAAGAGGTCTATTCGAGAAATGTATCTTCCCTTAATTATTAGTTTTGATTACTAGTCGCTTTACTCACATATCAAACTAAACTGTATAGTTATCTATAAATATAGTTTTCTTATGTATTTATTTATTTTAATTTATACCTTTTAACTAAATTTTCTAATTCTATTAATAATAATAATCATTAAGAATAATGATATTAATGCTGATACTATTCATTACGTAGTATTTTAGCACGAGGATAATATTAATAATAATAATAATACTAATACTAAAAATAATAATAATACCAATTAAATTTTCCTTTATATTAACCAACAAGCATATTTCCATAATATCATTAATTACCTGTCCACACCATAAATTATAATACCTCCTATTTATTTTTCTTAAAACTTGTAACTGATATTCATGCATTAGATTTAACAATGCTCTATTTAATTTACTTAAATATTCAATTAATTCATTAATTCATTATTTTGGGATTTATTCGAAAATGGCGAATTGAATCTTAGAGTGTACCGATCAAAAATCGGATGACGAATCCACAGCCTACACGAGAAAAGGAAGATTTCGCCTTTTGGTGCCTGGCCGGAGAATCGTTGGCCGGTCGCCGGACCGCTGCCGTCGCCGCCGTTCACGGTGGCCGGAAAAGCAACTTTTGCCCAGAATTTTACAACATATATAACAAAATACTCGAAATCTCATGGGGACTCCGGATTCGTGATCAATTTGGACTGGTTAAGCCTTGTTTCGCCGGAAATGGCCCTGACAGTGGCTTCGCCACCTCCTTTCATGGCGTTTTCCTCAAGCAAGCTTTGTCGCCGAAACTGATGGAAGAAAGAGACTCGTTGGGAAGAGAGGAGTCGATCAAAGCATGTCCCTCGCCTTGAAGCAGCTGGAAATGGCGTGGATCGCTGGAGTTTGGTGAGCACGAGCTGTCAAGGAGAACAACTCCGTTTCGCTCCCATTGAAGCTCCTTTCGCGCGAGAGGAGGCTGGAGACATGACCACCAGCACCAGACGAGCCGACCGCCACCTAGCTTTCGTTGAGCGGTGGCCCGAAACGAGGAGAGGGAGGAGGAGCGGCGCTACTCCTTGCTTGCGCGAAGAAGAAGAGAGGAAGAGAGAAAAAGAGAGGAGAAGATGGGTGTAGAGAGTTCTGGGCCATTCCGGTTCGATTCGAGCCGGTTTGGTCCAACACAACGATTTAGCTCGATTTTTATTAGGTTTGCAGGATTTTTATCTGGTTTACAGATCCGGTTTGATTTATTTTTTACTAATTTAATTAGATTTTATAACATTTCTTCGATTTACTCAATATTAATATTAATAATCATGATATTCGATTTTTAAGATAATTAAGTCATATAGTAACCACATTCACATTTACATATTTAAAATACATTAATAGTTAAGGCTCCATATTCATTCTTGAAAATATCTAAAGGTTCTCAATCCGGTAATTCCGATAATATATTTTGGGCTTGAGACCAACTCACAATTTAGGCCCAGATTGAAATTACTTGATACTTATGGCCCATACCATCACAAATTCAGATTTTTGATTTATTAAAAATTCAAAAGTTTTGAAAATAAAAATTCAGGGTATTATATTCTTACCATATTTAATATATACTTTATATATTATATAATATAATATCTTATTTTATCCATATACTTTCTATATATTATATAATAATATCTTTATTTTTATCCAATTAAGATTTTAAATTTCATTAGAAAAACTAATGTGAACAATTTTAAAATCAAATTACCTTTATTTTTTAACCAAAAAAAATTTAAAATCTTAAAATATTTTATTAATTCGGCACATTTTTCCACCAATCTCCCAATTTCCCATTTCATTTCCCCGCGCACAAACACATTTATTGTCTTACCATATTTAATATATACTTTATATATTATATAATATAATATCTTATTTTATCCAATAAGATTTAAATTTACATAGAAAACTAATGTGAACAATTAAAATCAAATTACCTTTATTTTTAACCAAAAAAATTAAAATCTTAAATAATATTTTTATTAATTCGGCACATTTTTCCACAATCTCAATTTGCCCCATTCATTTCCCCGCGCACACACATTATGTAACTGTAAATAAAAATGCAGATTTGATACATAAGAAAAGAACCCGCAAGTTATTCTTGCTGCCTCCAAAAATGCTTTTGTTAAAGGAGATATACCAAACTTGCCATGGACAAAAAACTATTACAAATCCACTAGTGAATTTTTTTCTAGCAAAAAGACTTTAGATTTGGCTCCTTTATACTAACAAAGCTGAAGAATTCAAATGTCTAGATTTTCCTGATGCTGCTTTACAATATAAGCAAGCTAAAATGAAAGAAGTTGTACTATGGATGAATGAATATGACATAAAATATGCAAAACAAAAGAGTGACATTTGATATACGAACAGACACGCGAAAATAATACAAATAAACAGAGAATGGGATTAACATACAGCTTTTGATATATCGCAGCTCGATTCTCTTTCTCCACAATAAAAAATTACTGGAGAAATCCAAGATCAAAGAGAGAGATGAGTGCTGATAGAGGCAACAGTGATAAGTAGTGTTGTTTATTTTCGGTATCCATTTTCTTCTCTTTTTGGCAGCGAAGGGAAGGGAAGGGAAGGGAAGGAAAGGGAAGGAGGGAGGGTACTTGGCTTCTGTTTGATCCTGTCCAGTCGCATCCAATCTGTAATTGCTACACTACCCAAGATACCTCCATTTTTGCTTCTTTTACTCTCCCACTTCAATTCAATCTCTCTCTTCCATTTGTAATTAGGTTATTAAATCTTATTATAAAATTTCATAATTAAGAGTGATGGTTATGATTAAGAATTGTAGACAAGAGAGTTGACGATGAAAAAAGAGAGGAGGAAGAGGAAGACGAAGAATAGAAAGAGATGGGAGAATAAATACACTGAAAAAATATGACTAACAATATAGATAACTTATATTAACAATTAATAAAAAATTTATAAATAAATAAATAATATACTGAAAAAGATGACTAACAATATAGATAATTTATATTAACAATTAATAAAAAAATTAAATTACATTACATATTACTCTAAATTTCAAATCCTTAAATTTTATCAAAAAAAACATTTCAAATCCTTAAAGAATTAATTGGGTTTCCCTGAAACCTGCCGCACTGAATAAGCAACGACTCGAGCCCACTGTTTCAATTTCATCTTCACCGTCTCCGAATCATCACCTATCAAAAACAAATAACACCGGTTCTATCAAAAAAATTTTTTTTTTTCCAATAATCCAATCCAACGGCTAAAAACTCTTGAAATCATACCTGAATCAAGAATGGAGGAGCTACAAGTACTTGAACTATCACTGTCAGACAAAATTGAGGAGGAAGACGACGATCTCAATAAACTATTAGTATACTCCTTATTAACAGCACAATAAAACCTCAAAGCAGGTAAAGCATCAGACAATTTTGGATCCAAATCAGGCGAGTCAGGTTTGAATCCGAATCCTAATTCAAAGCTCGCTTTTAGCTCCTCAAGATCTTCGTCTGTAAGACTACCCTTGTTGCACATACGGGAATTGGATTTTCGCCGAAGCCACACCTCCTCCTTCTCGGTGTCTGGCGACCACGACCGCTGCTTGAAGAGCCGCCGGAACCGCAGCTGTGGTGGCTGCAGTTGGGAATTGGAGATTGGAACACCATCAATTTGGTCTGAAATTGAGACGTGGTTGTGGTTGTTTGTATCCTTCTCAATATCCAGTGAACATGACCACCGCTGCTCGGAAAGCTGCCGGAGTTTCGATTTTGGAGGCAGGTCCGGCGGATGGGAATTCGACATTGGAAACCGCCGCCTTAGTTGAAAATTGAGGCTGTGGTGTTTATAAAGCAGTGGTTTTTAGGAGGCGGGACTCTGGAGGGAATTTGTATTTGAAGCGGTTTTGAACACTTTGATCCGTTGGCAAATCGTAAGCTGAGTATTTGATTATGAAAAAGGTAGGGACCTCGTTAAAATAGGTTTTAGGTGGGGTTGGTGTGGTGGGGTCCATTCTTTTTTTTTTTTAATTATTAAAACTTGGTAATTGCTAATGCTGTGCTGTATTACCTTACATATATATTGCTATTTTTATTTTTGTGGGTTTTAAATTTTTTCTTTGGATGGAAAAAGAATTCAAAATACATTTTTGTACGGGCTGATAATTTAATTAGTTTGATCCAATTAAATTAAATTAGTACTAACACATGACAACTAGATATGGTCTGATTGGTCCTCTCATTCATGTGTGAGAGATGAGAGGTTTCGAATTTGAGTTCTTTCGAACATGAGTTTTCACCAATTCAATGAGTTGAGATTATTTCGACCCGTTAGACTTCCTAATGAATAGAAAAAATACTGACCCATAAAATTATAAATGAGCTAAACTGCTCGTGAGTTGTTGCACATGAATTGAAAATCGGTCATGATTCATTTATGGTCTCACTTGCTAAATAAATAGAAGTTTTTTAAGAAATAAATCTAAACAAATTGAATAGTGTATAATAAACCAAGTTTTATTGAATTGATTCAATGTGTACTTTGGTTTGATTGGTTTTAGTTATTTTTTAATTAAATTTAAACTGATTTTTGGATTTAATAAAAATTACTGAAAAAACTTAGATTCTTTCTATAAAAAATTAAAATAGATCCATTATATAAAAGACTAAATCAAGTACATTTATTCAATCAATTTGTTCAATTTTTACTCAACTTTGCTCAACCTTAATTCTTATTATTATTTTGAAATTTACTCCCTGTTTTGTGTAATGGATCTAAAAAATATAATTTATTTAGAATAAATAGAATTTAATTTAATAATAATATTTGAAACTCAGAGATTTTATTTTATTTTATTTTATTTATTTGTGAAATATGAAAAAATGTATTAATGTTTCATAATAATGATTACTAACAATGTAAGCTAGATTTGGTAAGATGAGATATATGTTTCAAACAAATAACTTTTTATTGATTTTACCAAATTCATTTAAATCATCCCATATGATTTTATAGGATTTATTTGAATTTTAATTCCTTGAAATATATGATACTTAAGTAAAATTTTGCTCAAATTAGTATTTTGCGGGAATAAGTTTTATACTATTCTTTTTTGCTAACGAATAAACTTCAAACATACTATACGTGTACATAGTGCATTCCTTGAAAATACATTTTTATACATTAAAATCTAAAATATTAGATTTGAGAATTAATTTAAAATAAAATTCTATTTACCAACTACGTATTTTATGCACCTGATATGTAGGTAAGCGATGAATCCATCCTGATTTTATAAGTAAAATTTGTGTAGAGATGCTATTCGCTTGTCAAACTCTTTGTTTAGTGATGTTTTTTCTTATTTGAATAACAATAGGCTAAAAGAGGATGCAAGTCCAAGAAACAAAAACTAATTAGAAAGTAAAATTAAGATCTAAATAATTTTTTTAGAAAATATTAATATATTTTAATGAAATGTTTCTTGGATTACTTATATAAGAATGAAACAAAATGAATAAACTTAAGAATGTCTCGCGTATACAATTTTAATAGTTTCGTTTAAAAAAAATTGAATCCTTAATTTTCAAGAATCAGCAATGATTTCAAAATAGTTCCAATCATCAAACTGGAGCAACAAGAGGATCATATGCCAACAGTTCAAGCTAGTTTTCAGCTATCTTATGTGAACAAATAGGGTAATGAACAAGGCATCTTCCTTATAATAGCCTGTACAATGCAGGCAACCGGGGCAGCAAGTTGTGCCTAAATCTTGATTTCTGGTATATGAATATGACCAGCTAGCTGGGTTAACAGGAGAAACAGGAGGTTGGTCATTGCAAAGATTAATGAAAACTTAAGCTCAAAATAATGGTTTTCTTTTCTCCTGCCACATCAGGTTGACATGTCTTCTGGGACTAATGTGGTTGGTATCTTGATCCAGATAAGCAAATGGCCCCGGTGATATTCTTGCAGAGCTGGAAGCCAGTTGTTAATTAGTAGCTGAAGGAAGTCTCTGTCTCTGTGCTTTGCTGTTTAAAGTCAGTAGAATAAAAAGAAGAAAAAAGATCTATATTTTGTTTTCTCTTTATGAAAGGCTTACAAAAATATAATAGAATATGCATACACCAAAATGCAACAACAAAAATTTCAACTACTGGCACAATAAAAAATTTATCAATTCACTGAAGGTTAGAGGTTTATACTAGTTCTGTAAACCGGTAAAACAGAATTTGCCTTTCAAATGTTAAAAATGGGTACCTTTCCAGTGATTATTCCTTTTGGAGAGGCTCAGTCTGTACTGCGGCACCCTCAAGATGCAGACGTCATTATAAAAGCAGAACTTAAATGAAATTCATTCGCCAAGTTTCACATCTTTAAATAATTAGATCATAATCTATATCACCAGTAGTCTCCACAAGAGCAAATTCCATTCTTGAAATGATGGAAACGGTTTGAATCTCTAACTATAATCTCCCTCTCTGTAATTCTAGCTATAAATTTAGTTGTAGTATGGCAATCACCACAAACTCGTAAATTTTTGAAGATTCTAATAGTACTTTTAGGAGGGGTGCTGATGATTCCGAATGCTATAGCCAATCTTTCACTATGGCCCATGAGAATTTGCTCCTTCTCATCATCCTCAACATCTTGCAACACAAAGCTGAAGTCTGGAACATAACCGAGAGTCTTCATTTTTTCAGTTAAATCCCTCAACTCTCTATGTATCTCCTCGTATTTTGGATGAGTTTTATTTCCAGTATAGAAGACATCAACCATATTGTTCATTTCAATAGAGCTCCACCCAGGAGTCTTCCTCAATCCCCTGCCCCTAGCCAATGATCTCACCTTATTTGCTCCCTCCCATTTCCCTACAGTAGCATAAATGTTTGACAATAGAACATAGTAGCCAACATTCTCTGAATCAACTTCAAACAACTGATCTGAAGCATATTGTCCCAACTCCATATTCCCATGAATTCGGCAAGCACTAATAAGAGCACCCCACATTGAAGCATCAGGCTGAATCGGCATATTTTTTATAAACTCATATGCCTTATCTAGATAACCGGCCCTACCATATAAATCGACCATGCAGCCATAGTGCTTCACATCAGGCTTAATCCCATATATTTCCTGCATCATGTGAAAGCATTGTTGACCATCACTAACCAGACCTGAATGGCTGCAAGCTGATAACAAAGATACAAATGTTACATGATCAGGTGTTACCCCCTCAGCTATCATTTCCCTAAAGAGTTCGAGAGCTTTCTCACCATGCCCGTGAACCCCATGACAAGATATTATGGTATTCCAGGGGATTGAATCTTTTCTAGGCACTTCGTAGAATAATGACATTGCATCATCTAATTTTCCACATTTTCCATACATGTCAACGAGGCAGGTTCCAACAAAAACATCCAAGTATAGAGAATTTTTAATAACCCGCCCATGAATTTTCATGCCTTGTTGCAAGGCTCCTAAATGAGAATAGGCCGGTAGAATACTAACCCAAGTCCCTTGGTTTGGAATTATCTCTTTGCATTCTTCCATCATGTGATATACTTCAACTGCCTCACTTGCAAGACCATTTTGAGCATAACCAGTGATTAAAGTGTTCCATGAAATCACATCTTTAATGGGAAGTCTTTCAAAGACTTTACGGGCAGAATCTGTAACACCCAATTTAGCATACATGTCAATAACTGCATTACCAATGACATTATCTTCAAAAAGCCAGCCTGCCCTTGTGATAAATCCATGGATAGACCTGCTGTTTCGGTGATCATTCAATTGAGCAACAATTGAAGCCAAACTAACAAGGGTCAATATATCAGGTCTGGCTGCAGCCTTCTGCATCTTGTCAAAGAATAAACGTGCAGTAACCACATCATGATTTTGCTCATACGCAGCAATTATTGAGTTCCATGACACAGTATCTCTTGTGACCATTTGATCAAAAAGTTTCTGTGCTTGCCCCAAGCAACCAAATTTGGCATACATGTTAATCAATGCATTAGACACAAACAGCTCACATTCTAATCCACATTTTATAACCAACAAATGGATCAACTTCCCACTTAAAATGTCACTTAGTTGTGCACAAACAGGAAGAATACTTGCAACTGTAACAGGATCCACAGCTACCCCTTCCAATCTCATCTCACCTGCAACATCTAATGCCTCTGCAGGATTCCCATTCTGACAATACCCAGAAATCATTGCATTCCATGAACCACTATCACGAATTGGCATTTCATCAAACAATTCTCGAGCAGCACCTACCAACCCAAACCGTGAATACATATGTATCAAGGAGGAAGCTACAAAAACATCCCACTCAAAGCCCATCTTTAGGATTGAGCAATGTACCTTCTTCCCATCCAGTAGAGTTCGGCAAGCTTTAATTACAGGAGGAAAAGTGTAAAAATCAGGCTGAAGACCAGATGTCCAAAAGAACTGATAGAAACAACACAAAGCTTCTTGGAAAAGGCCATGGCGAACATAAGCAGATATCATGGAATTCCAGGTGTAGACATTTTTCTTTGAAATCTGATCAAAGGTGCGATAGGATAATGACAATTCACCAAGATAGGCATAAAGATTAACGAGTTTTGCAGAGATGAATATATTTTCAACTCTCCCTGACACCACAAGAAGGGTGTGAAGACACTTAACATGGGGAAGTTTGTTGCATGATCGGAAAAGAAGATCCAAATCAACATCTTTCTTCTCACTTTCAAAACCATCAGATGTAACTTCCCAAGAATCTTTGGCCGACGAAAAGCATAGGCAATGGGCTTGAAGTGATGGAAAAAGTTTGAGAACATTTTGTCCTTTGCAGGTCTGCACCAATCTAAGTAGCAACATAATTATTGAAGCTCACACGATCAGATACCCATTGAACAATTAGCAAGTTCAAGCATAAAAAAGATAGGATAAGGATTTATGGCCCTAATACAGTAAAAATATTACAAGCAAAAGGTGCTTGCTAAAAGCATTTATTTTAAAGTTCTCAAAGTGATGTTAAACTGATGAAAAAAATTGATATTCTTGGTCAAGTCTATAAATTTGTGACCCATTTGCAAGACAATATTGGCATATATATGAACTTAGGAGAAGGGGGTACTTAGCAAGTAAATGTTTGAAGAAATCATGGTATCACAGAGCAATGTTCAGTATAGCAATAAAGAGCTTGATTCTCATATAGGTACTAAGGCTCAGACACGTCAAGATGAGTATAGCCAAGAAAGAGGAAAAAGAAAATGAAGAGAGCACATACCTGCCAATTGGGTGAAGGAGTGAAAGCATGTACCTACACACTGGGTGCAACAATGCTGGTTAATCAATATTGTATGTTGCCGCTGTGAATTTCTTGATGTCAATTATGGCAGATTGATGAAAAATGGTGAACTAAAGAACAGAAAAACTGACATTGCCAGAGTAGTAAACAATTTCACTTAACGATCTCAGATTCAACTTCCTGTTTTGAATATAATGAAGAGTTCAAAGTTTGATTATCTTAGTATTATTAGTATCTATATTTTCCTCTAAGTACTTGTATTATGTTGAATTTATAAGCTAAATTTCAAATAAGTCAAAAAAATGTAAGAACTCATCCATTTTTAGTCATGAAAGCTAATTTGCAGGAGATTCCCATGTGCCATACCAGGTGATGAATCTACCTTGCAAATGAGATTGGTAGTAATATCACATTTAGTCTGATACTGATTATATCGTGTGGGATAGGTTAACTACAAAAATCATAAATCTATTTAGATTTTTAATCAACTCTAATTCATCATTGGCTGCCAATATACAACTCATGGGCAGGAATAGAGAATGTAACTCATATTTAATTTTAAAATTTTAAAACATTTCGTTTGTGCAACATGAGATTGGTAGTAATTATCACATTTAGGTTGATACTTGATTATAGATTGGTAGTAATATCACATTTAGTCTGATACTGATTATATCGTGTGGGATAGGTTAACTACAAAAATCATAAATCTATTTAGATTTTTAATCAACTCTAATTCATCATTGGCTGCCAATATACAACTCATGGGCAGGAATAGAGAATGTAACTCATATTTAATTTTAAAATTTTAAAACATTTCGTACTTTCATGGTCTAACAAATCCCAAACAATACTGAAGGAAGTTATCACCTTCAACAAATTGAGCATAGAATTGTTCCTAATGTTGTAAAGATTTCACTTTTATTAAGCACTTCAATTGAAACCTTTAAGAAAATTTAAGAAAGCAATCTCAGTTCTAAAACATTATCTTCTTTCTATTGAAAAGCTATGCTCAACTAAACTAATCCCTCAAAACAACATAATCAACTCAAATTTCAAAGCAATAAGATATGGCATTAGTTCACATATATGTAATTAATTAATCAATCATGCAATCAGCTATGAAAAAAAAAAAGCAAAAAGTATTCTTAATTCAATTGCCATTAACAAAGGATAATTGCGTATGCAGCTGCTTTCTGATAGTTGATTAAAGTTAAATAAACAGAATGTTCGCAAGGCAACATAATAGAATGAAGTAAAGGCAAATGATTAGTTAAAAAATGGAAAGTTAATGAAGAAATTAGTTCTTACCACTCGGCTTATTGTGTTGTTAAGGTGCCTTGACTTGGAACTAAAAGGGGCTAACTTTTGTCTTTTGAAAATTGTAACTCACCGCACTGGCCTCCACAAATCCTAAACTTCTCAACATAATAGTAAACCTAAAAGACCAAGAAGATTGAATCAGAAGTCGACGATACAGTGGAAAGCAAAAGCAACTCGATATTTAAACTGAATTAAGAATTCGAAAGCAGGATCAAGTTTTGAACAAACTGAGAGAAACTAACCTGATTACAGGGGAGCTTGAATGTACGGAAGCAGAGCGACACTAACCAATGGCGAGAGAAACAGTCCTTAGTCTTGCAGCCTCCGTGAGTGGAGAGGCAACAGCGGGAAACCGGCGGAGGCGGAAATTATTAATAATAATATCGACATTCCACAAATATTATATATAAAACACACTTAATAATTTTAAAAACTTATTAATTATAATTATTAGTATAAAATTTGTATAGTTTATTAAACTATTCTAATAAATCAATATCTAAAATACTTAACCAATAAAAATTATAATACATGTATTTTGTTTAATAAATTTCTTTTATATTAAAACTTTAGTTTTTTTAAAATGTAAAATTATAAATTAAAAAGTATTTTAATAATCACATAAAAACAAATAAATGGAAATGTTCTTTTTCTTAATTATCTTTTCCGTATTTGTATCTTTGAATTTCTAAAACGGAATTCACTCAAAAATTATATAAAGTACAAGAAAAGTATAAATAATCCTAGCAATTAGTTCAAATAAATTAGTGTTTGGTCAGCAATATTAGTTGTTTTAGTTTTAGCTTTATAACAATTTAAATTAACCTGTTCAGTGAGAATAGATGTTTAGTTATTTAAATTAAAATGACAAAAAATAATATTAATTGTATAATTAGTTGAATTCAAGGAAAAAAACGACGACTATATTAAAATTTTAATTAAAAACTAAACATTAAAAATTAAAATATTTAACGTTTCATAAAAATTTAACTACAAATTGTTACCAAACAGGAAATAAACTATCTTGATCTTTTGCTTTTTGTTTCAGTTTATTATAAACTATGGGGTATACTTCTAAGAATAACAATATATTTTTTTTTTAATATACTCCTATTTAATAACGCATTATTATAAATAATTTATCCATTTAATTATTTATTCAAAGTGAATATTATATTATTTTATTTGAATTGATTTATTTGTTAATTATATTTTATTAAATGTTAAAATCCAAATAAATATATCAAAGAGTTTATTAATTTTTCCTTTTGTTTTCAAGTATTTGTTTAAGGTGGAAGTGCTCAATTTGTAAGAATAAACCTTCAACCTAGATCGGTCCATAGCGCACTTATGTTGCTAACTTTACCGAGAAAACTTTAATTGAACATGACAAGAATACCTTATTTTGATGGTTTATAAATTTTTTTTTTCAAGATAAATAATTCTCTGGTTTATTATAATTTTCTTTTTTTTTTTCTTAATATGTTTTGAACATCAGTACATTAATGAATGATGCATTTTTACGAAGAAAGTCACTTTGAAGGTGAGACTTTATAATTCCATTATTTTTTTATGATAAAATAATTTCAATTAATTAATTTTATTCCAAAAATATCTTTCAAATTTATGGATTATATTTTTTAACTAAATCATGGAGTGTAAAAATTCTATTAATTTCAATATCTACGGATTTTACATTCCATGGATTAAAACATTCCCTTTCACATTAATATGAGATTCAAACATAAAACTATTAATTCAATATCTACGGATTTTTACATTCCATGGATTAAAACATTCCTTTCACATTTAATATGAGATTCAAACATTAAAATGATTGTTAATTTATATTGAATAAGGATAACAAAATTAAACAACAAGAATAATTTCTCCATTTGAAAAAAATTGTTTTGTTTTTCATTTTCTAATAAAAATTAATTAAAACCTCTTAAACAATTGCAAATCCAAGTCTCACTTCAAAAAAAAAAAAAAAAAAAAAAACAAAAAAAAACAATGAATGTAATTTTCTTTAACAAAATAATTTTTGATTTTAAAAGAAAAAATAGGGGACTTGAAAGTTAATATTCACTAAACATCACATAGGGCTTAGCTAATTAATAAATCCTTCGGTTTTTTAACCTTGATTTATTTTGATTTTGGAAAGCACCACCCACCGGCCACCGCAACCAGAGTTGGTTTTCCCCTGATCACACCAGGGGCACCACCGCCGGTAACTACTGTGCGAACCCTTAAACCTTTCAAAGTTCTCAAAGGCAATCATCTCCATCAACATTAACAGAACGTGTTTCTTTTGGAGCAACACTCGAGTCTTTTCAAGTTGTGCTTTCTGACCTTTCAAAGGAAAACTTAAAATCAAAACTTCTTCAACATCTCCATAAACTCATCCTGAGACTCTGGAAATATTTTCTTTGAACACTTCCCTTTTTCGAATATTATAGTGGTCTGAAAAACTCTAGCAAGACATCACTAATCTTTTCATCAAAAAAAAAAAAAAAAAAAAAAAAAAAAAACAATGAAGTAATTTCTTTTAACAAAATAATTTGATTTAAAAAAAAAATAGGGACTTGAAAGTTAATATCACTAAACATCAATAGGCTTAGCTAATTAATAAATCCTTCGGTTTTTAACCTTGATTTATTTTGATTTGGAAGCACCACCACCGGCACCGCCACCAGAGTTGGTTTCCCCCTGATCACCACCAGGGGCACCACCGCCGGTAACTACTGTGCGAACCTTAAACCTTTCAAGTCTCAAAGGCAATTCATCTCCATCAACATTAACAGAACGTGTTCTTTTGGAGCCAACACTCGAGCTTCTTTTCAAAGTTGTGCTTTCTGACCTTTCAAAGGAAAACTTAAAATCAAACTTCTTCAACATCTCCATAAACTCATCCTGAGACTCTGGAAATATTTTCTTGAACACTTCCCTTTTTCGAATATATAGTTGTCTGAAAAACTCTAGCAACATCACTAATCTTTCATCAACCGATGACTTTGCTTCTTCTTTTCCTCGATTTCCATGTTTCAACAATGTTATATCATCATATGTTTTATCGATTCTTGGATATCCTTCCGGAATATGAGAGTGGATATATTCAAGATTCTTCTTGGACATTATTCTTGAATTCCTGCTTCTTGTTCTCTTGATTCTTGAAATTTTTTTTTTCCTTCTTGGTTTCTGATTCTTTAACTCTTTCTTCTTGATTTGTTGATTGTGATCTTGATTTCCCGATTTTGAGCCTTCTTTTTGGTTTGCTGATTTATGATTCTTGATTGTGCAATGAAGTGAGACAAATGGAAAATTGCTGTATTTTGGTCAATTATATTAAGATTTATATAGAGAAGGTAGGTAAACTTGTTCAAGGGTCAAAAAAAAAAAAAACCAGGGAATCTGCTTCCTTTATAAGACCTAGTCATTTTGATTCACCTACGCGTTGCTGAATTATTAACTTGATGTATGAATATACCCATATCAAGATGTAGCAAATCTTATCTCTTAGGATCATTTTTCTATTCCTTGAAGAATTGGTCATTAACAAGCAAATGACATTTCAAGAGAGAGAAGTTTCCTTAATGTTGTATTAGGGAAAGCTACAAGTCTTTATTTACTTATTTTTATCAGCAATGAGACCAGTATTCGGTCCAATCATTATTGGAAAAGGGGCAAATTCAGTGTATAACCATCATTCAACCCTAAACTATTTTAATTAAAATTTTAAACCAATACGTTTTGATTCTGTAAACTCTTATCTTAAAGCTTTGATTTTTTTTTTTTAAATCATCGGTATCCGAACCCTATTATTAGAGACTGATTAAATCCGGCTCGGAGCTTAGTCACAATTATGGCTGTTCGCCTCTCCCTGCAAGCGTGTTTAATGGTCAAACCCGAGAACTCTTCTCATATACTCAGCTTGTGTTGTCGATTAAATCATAATCCGTAGATATCTTAAAGCTCTAATTTAATAGTACTAGAATTATTTTAAAAAAAAAAAAGCAAACATTATGTGCTTGACTTGTGGGTTGTCTAGATCTTTTCAAGCATCATACACGTTTTGGTTTAGGATAAGTCTAATGCATAAATTTGCCTCATATTTATGCGATTTGCTCTGAAACACCTCCAGTTTGTAGAGGCCTATTACGATCATACACTTTCACATCTCAGTAATAATTATGTCTCTCGTTAAGATAAAATGTAAAAGCGCAGGATCGTGATTAAGCCCTCACAAAATTATTTCATTTTGGCAGAAAACTTACGGGTGTCACGAGACAAATCGGGCGATAAACGTCGTGGATAAATCTATGCATTTGACCATTTAGGATATAATCATATACGTCCAAATAGATCAGAACCCACATGCATAATCCTCATGGGAATAGCTTCTTCACCTGGGTTCTGTAACAAAGAAACTTCAAATAGAACGAATGTCAAGCAATAACATAACAATCTCAAAACATTTCAGAGTTCTATTTTCATCATTTTGCTGAGAAATGAAGTAATGACTGTCCTCAGAACTCAATATCTACAGCCACATGAGCACGATATACTGGAGGAAAGAAAAACATCCTTCATGGCTATAATAGTGTGTTTCTTTATGAATATATGGAAGAAACAAGACGCATTGATGAGAAAACGAAACTCAGGTATGATCAATCTCTTTACGAATCTCATCTCCCAACAAAAAATTCACCCCATAAAAATGATACAACTACATACATATATCAAGGGTCAGGACATCTACTGTTACAATACAAAATCACTATTTCTGAAACCCCGGTAAACCTAATAACTTCAGAAAACCTACAGAAAATGATAAGCTATTATCTATACATGTTTGGTTTAATATTATCATCAATGAAAGGGAATTGATTTGCAGAAGGCATGCCAGCAATTCTACCTGGAAGTGATGGTGAGAATGCTTCTCTTGTGGGCATCCGAGGCATCAAGTCAGGATAGGAGGTATTGATGGGATAACTGGGATAAGTGTATCTACTTGAAGACGGTAAACCTGTATCCAAGTAAGGATCAAAATAAGGCTTCTGTGTGGGGATTCTTGAGCCACTCCTAACATATTGGCTGGCAAGAAATTGATCCTCAGTTGACATGTTAGATCGACTCTCGAAGTATGGGCTTGAGATAAATTGATTACTGGCAGCTGCTGTAACACGTGCATCTGGATAATAGTTTCCCAAACTTAATTGAGCACTTGAATTCAGGACGTCAGCTCGTGCATTAGCTTCAACTGAAAAATCAGTAGGTAATCTGAAAAGTCCAATACATCCAACAGGAATCTGCACTTTATCTCCAGGAGAGGGAAAAGAGGCTTCAACAGATTTTCCAACAGATGTGGCTGCTAATGGCAATTTGTCAATCCTCTGTTGTAGTGACTGCTTTGCTTCTTTAAGTGCCTCCAGCACGCCACCCAATCCATCAGATGCTTTGTGTGGCACCAATGCATAAAGTTCATTTTGGTTTCCAGAAGTTTTTCTACCGCTGAATCCGTTATTTAGATTTGATGGAATGCCAGGCACAGTTTGGCTCCCAGGGGAATTGTGTGAACCATTTGAAACTGAATCATGATCAGGGACATGTGATGGTGCAAGATAGTTGTTGCCAGTGCTCTCTTGATTTTGCTTTCCCTTGGCCATTGGGAAAGCAAAGTCTTGACTTGAGGATTTGGAAACAGCCGTGTTACTGCTTTCTCTTTCCACATCAACATGTGAGGATGGTAAGAAGCCATTAGGCCGAATATTGGACAAATCTTCAACTTCTGAGCTCACCACATGAGTTTGGGAGGCAATTGTCACGGCAGGGTATGTGGCTGGTGCCTTGACCTCATATCTTTCCTCAGTGATATCTGACCGGTTCCCAGGATCACATGAATCCTGAATAATTATGATCCAAAACATGAGAACATTAGGATATAATAGGACAAGATCTCATATGAGAAATAAGGTTATAAACTATTATTTTGTACAGGGTCAATCTACAAAGTTGTATGCTTCCTAATAAGTAAAAACAAGTGAAATTTAGCATTGACCAATATATGTAAAGAAAATGATGATTATTCCTTGTTCGTACCATTTCAGAATAACTTTTACTTTTAAAGTGATGCTTATGCCAATAAACACAAGCACCTCATGCATCCAGGCCTCAATTATGTCCCAAGTGCCACATTCATTATGCAACAAGACGGATAACAGGAGATTAATGCCTTTAGACAAGTATCTACCATGCAATTTGGTCTATATTTTGGATAATGAATAAACATGCCAAGCCTTTACAACAAAAAAAAAAAAAAAAAGGCTCAATTTTATGTCCCAAGTGCCACATTCATTATGCAACAAGACGTGATAACAGGATATTTAATGCCTTTAGACAAGTATCTACCATTGCAATTTGGTCATACTTTTGGATAATGAATAAACATTGCCAAGCCTTTACAACAAAAAAAAAAAAAAAGGATTTACATCCACAAAGAAACAGGGGCACCCCATCTACTCTTCTTACTGTTTTTACGAATCACAAGAAAAAAAAAAAAAAAAAAGGATTTACATCCACAAGAACAGGGGCACCCATCTACTCTTCTTACTGTTTTACGATCACAAGCATATGCATAAGCACACACACATGCATACACATAGAGATATATTCCAAGTGGCATTAAGGTTCAGTTGTTGTCCAAAACCGTTAATTCTATTTCTTATACTGAAATCTACATACAGACTTGGAATTACCCTCTTAGATCTGGAAATGTAACAATCTTCTTTCTTTCACCAGTTTCATGCAAAAATCAGCACATGCGCTAACAATCTTCACTCTTTTTCTGTCCAACTTAGCATGTACTAGCACATGCTACTGCCTTGTGCTAATGTTTCTCATTTATTTAGGTTCTTGAGATATTTCAAATGATTCCTAAAGCGTTATTTAGAACAAACATGTCATATTGAAATGCTTTTATTTTCAAACACTGAAAGGAAAACACAAGACACTTTTCATTTTTTAATGAACAAATAAAAATGATCTCAACCTAAGAGAGGTCTAGCGTGAATAGACCTTTTAAGTAATGTTGGCAAGTTATGACAACAGAATAGAAAGATAGTTGTCCCGGCCAATTCCTTGGCAAGAATCATCTGTTATGATCCTTATCAGACTGTTGATCACAGCCAATGCACCTTATACTTGGAATGGTTCCTATCAATGCATACAGGGGTGGAGATAGGATTTATAAAGGGGGCAAACTAATATAAAAATTTGTTAAAGGAAGATTAAACGCATATTTAAAGGCGGCAAGACGTTTAAAGGAACAATAAAAATAATTACAGTTGGCCTAGGTTCGAACCTTCCTTTTGCTAAAGGAAAAAAAAATCCAAACAAAAGGTGGGTTATTGCTCTGCTTGTAACACATAGATCCACCCCTGCATGCATCCCTTCTTACTCCTCTAAGGAACCTATCAAATGATGAACCCTGGCACTTAGCTTTTGCCCTCAAACTGCTCCTACTGGACTGACTTGAGTCTATTGATTGCCACGGGAGTAGACTCATTATTAAACTATAGAGAGCATACTAACACTCAATACACAATTATCTTAGCTAGTACTTATAGCCTATCGGACAGTGAATCACTGACATATTGCTCTTCCTATAGCTTCACTTTCAAGTTTCAACTCAATCATCAGGGCATAATGACCTTCAATTTCCAATTAAAGATCACCGTTAGGAAGTACAGATTCTTTTTGGATTTTCCTGATAAGGGCTTGGAAGGCAGTCTACCTGAAGTATTACACTCTTGAGCCCTTGATAGTGCCACCACAGCTAGGTGCCACAAAAAGGATGCTCCAGCCACCTTTGGCGCCATCCACCAACTTTTCTATGAAAATTCCCCTCACCATTTTCAATCATGCATCATACACCCATCCATGCATTCTACATCTAACTTTAAAAATTACCATCTTTTGATACGCATTATGCAATATGCAAACACTTTTCCATGCATCCCTTTTCCTAGATTTCAAGTTCGCAAACAAAACCTTATGCTAGGATAATGCATATCGAAAAGATGGTAATTGAGATTTCAAGCTACATCTAACTTTAAGTATTAACTCTCTGAACTTGTCAACCACAACCAAACTACATGGATGCACTCCCAATGTTTCTCACAACTTGGCTAGGACAGAAGGGGGTATTTAGCAAGATTAGTTTATTTAAAATTCACTGAGATAATTTCTTCAAATATATATAAGATTCACTGTGATAACAAAGTTTCAGATTCCATACTAGATATTCTTTTGACACTGCAAAATGGGCTTTTTTCACCTTTTTCTTGAGAAATAAGAATGAGAATGGAGTGTCAATATTGCCAATTGTGTGCTCTAAACAATACAGCCTATGCTTGTGTAATCCAGGATTTCAAATTGGATGACATTGTTTTATGGTAATTAGGAAAAGTATAATTACTTAATAAAGATCTCTAAGTAATAAACACAAAGTGCAATTTCCGCCTGTATATGTTTGAGAGAGAGATACACACACACGGAGATAGAGAGAGAAGGGATAGGAAGGAACAGCAGAAACTTAAGACTGTCAGGTAGTCAGTCGCACATTTATGCAACTCACTACATTTGGGCACATATGTTGACTTGCCAAAGCTATATGTGATCTGACAAAACAAATTCCTAAGTAGTTGATGGCAAGATGGATTTGTTATAAAGCTCAAATTAAGGTATTCGAAATTATGAGGAGTTCACAATGAATCACTGGAGTTCATGTCAATATGAACATCCAAGAATTTCTGAAGCCTATAGTGATGTGCAAGGAGTTAGAAACTTAAAAGCAACCATAGAGAATTTATCTAAACTTATAAATAAAAAAGAAAAGACAGAAAGAGAAAAAAAAAAAAAGCCAAAAGGCATTGGAAGTTTATAGGCATTTAATCTTCCATCAAAGGAGGAATCCAAAGAAATAACTATGACAAAAAGGAAAGAAATTGGAAAAAAATGAATCTCAATTGCTTCCCTCAAGCCCCCATTATCCATGCATGCACGTCTGTTTTTCATTTTTTTTTTTTTAAGTAAATTCCTGCAATGCATCTTAATCAGTGAAACCATAATTCATATTTGATCTCAAGGTTAGAAGAAAAATGGTTTGAAAAAAGGAAAAGAAAACACTACTTCAACATGTGTACATGCAGTATGCTGTCAACTTTTTCTCTGCGAAAAATTTAATGGTTTCCATGTTATCAGGTTTTATCAACCATACCGGCGTACTACTGTTATTTTCTCTGAATTTTTCTTCCCATTCTCTTTGAGCCTTTTCCATTGCTTCATATTGGCCAATCAGTTGTGCCTGATGTTCAAGGGCTTTTTCCATCTCTCTGTCTCCTCCATACACATTATAATCAAGATCATTACTACTTGCATTTCGTTTGCTTCTGAAGCAACCGCCATGAAATATTTGTTCGCCCCTTTTAACAACACTTTCCAAGCTCCCACGCTTAACATCAGAACCATTTAAAAATTCTTCTGAAGGAGTGACGACTTCATCTTCAAGAGTATCAACCTTGACTGGGCTGGCTTTGAAATCCTCAGCTACATATCTGGAAAAAATTTAAAAAAAAAAAAAGCTTTCAATTCTTGTGGTAACGGAGGTAGCAATAGAATATGGTCTCACATGATAAAAAAAAAAAGGTTTGTTTTCCCTCCCCAAAAATTGGAAATCTAACTCTATAACTATTACAAGTTTCATTTTTTCATTCTTTTATTGGAGAAGATGGTATTGGATGCACGATTTGACTTCCAAGAAGTGTTAAATGTTATGGTCATATAAATGCATGTCAAATATAAATGTTAGGATCATATAAGGTAAGCATTAAAGAAACCTCCAAAAGTGGCAAGTTAAGGCTGTCTCACATTGAAGGCTGTAGCATAAATTTTAAAATGCAGATAAATGTACAGATTACAATGATAGAATACAGGAGTAGCATCCTATTATTAGATACTTTCCTTGGATTGAAAATGCATAGGAAAATAACAAAAAAAAAAAACAGTGTGGTTCAAGTATTGGTTAAATTAAACATGAAGTGGACAAGGTAAGATGAACAAACCTAGGTTCTTTGCGTCTTATTTGGCGGCATGACTTGCCTGTGCGGCGTTTTGGAGAAGAACCAACAGATGCAAAACTACTCCGTCTTCTCACAGATGGATCCTTGTATTTCTCAAGAGAACATGGGCTATCCTTGCGACCTTTCCAAGACAAGCTTCTACCAGGTGCAGAAGAAAAATCAAAATCAGAACCTGAAAGTTCTTCTGACTCATTGTTTCTCACTTTCGAATTGACTGAATCCTCTTCTTCTTTGCAGGACATATTACCCAATTTGGATTCACGTGGAATATCTTGATCAGAGCTCGAATCAAACGTCTCAGAAATGTCACTAATCCCGTTACCCTCCAGAATAGCAAGAACATCTGCTGTTGCCTTCTCAGCCTTCATTCTTTGAAGAGACACATACCTTAGTTGTTCCTCCAACTCTGCTACCTGATTCAGATTTAAAAAACAACATTATAGCAGTACAAGAAAGGAGGAGACAGACATTTGTTTAAACATAGATATAAACTCCTTGTTTAAAATCCATAATAGAGCGTACCCTTTGTGCCAGTTCATCAGCTCTTTGTCTTGCACTTTTTGACACAGACCTTTCAGACAACAGCCGTGCTCGAAGGAATTCAATAGTCATTGCAGTGGAATCTTCCATGCCAGAATTAGTCCTGAAAATGAAAAATCTACGATAAATCATAAAAATCAATTTAAGTGTATACCAATCCTCCTTCAATTTCAACTGAAACCTATTCAGTCTTAAAACTTTCTATGTGACTACAATGCTAAAACATCTAGCCCTCACTTTTTTTTTTTTCAACAAGAAATATTTCTGAGGGCTTTCATAAACTTTATGTACCAAATATTATAGACATTCCTCCCAAGCTCCATCGGAAATTAGGACCAAGAAAAGCTTTCAGCAACCAGTGCTGGTGACACAGATTCTAATAAATAAATAAATGCAAAGAACTATATACATTTAGTAAGAGGAGCGAACTACTGAATTGACTAGCTTCTAAGAAGCAAATTCATACAAAGTCCCAGTTAACAAATTTCACAACTATCAATTCCAAGTTATCATTTGGGAGATGATCTATGAGATATTAGTGATGGATCATGTACATACTATAATTTTCACTTCAGTTGAAAAAACATAAAAAGTCAGTTGCCATTGTACTGCAAAAAGTGAAAAATGCTTTCCTCACAATTGAGCCAAGTAGAAGAATGAGGCTTGGTTGACTTACCGTACAATTGACTAAAAAAATCTAAAAAGCTAGAGTTAACTCCATTTTACGATTCTACACTTCTCTCAGCAATCAAATCATATATAAGCTAATAATCTAAAACTATGCCCCTGTAAGTATACCATAAATGAACATTTCTCAAAGTTGCTCTTAAATTATCCACAAACTTATTCAGAAATAAAGCAGAAGCAGCCAAATATCATTTCAAACACTCACCAAACATAGAATCCCTAAAAACAACAAAATAAGTTTAAAAGAAGAAAAAAGCAAATAAAACAAACCCACGAGCCAAAACTACTAAAAACATTCAAAACCAAACCCGACTACACAAATACCAAACAAGAAAAGGAATACCAAGATGGGTTTTTACCTCTGATCTTGCTTCTCTTGATCAGAATTATTCATATTTTTGGAAGATACAACTAAAACCAAAAGACACACAAGAAAGGTCGAAGTTGGAAAGCCAGTTCCTATAACAGAAAGGAGATATAGAATTAACCTCAAATTAAAAACATTTAAGAGTACCAAACAAAGAGCTATACAAAATTTAAAAAAAAAAAAAAAAAAAAAAAAAAAAAAAAAAAACCATTAGTGTGATTTACACAAAAAGATATGTAATACAAGAAATGAAAAGCAAAGGAGAAGAATAAACGGGGCCTACCTTATTCAGAGAAAGAGAACTGCACCATTGAATTGAACAGAAAATGGGGACTTTTTTACTTCACTGAATAATGAGAAAGATGATAGATCTTTTGGGTCTTTTGGGAATGAGAAAAGGAAGCTTCTCCTTTTTTGAGACCATCTGAACAACCATGGAGATGGCCCATCGGCATCCAGTCTCTGGGACATCCTTGTCTGATATTATTATATTCTTGTTGAATTTACAAAAGACACCAAAACATTTTTGCGTATTACAGTTTTATTCTTATTATGAACTTTTTATTTTTTTTTTTTAAGTTTTATTGATAAATAAGTGATTTATTTAGATTTAAAAATTTTGTCCTTAAATTTCAAAAGACTTCATTAGATTTTCTAATTTATGAATTTGATAAACTATCAAATTATCAAACTAATGATTCAATTAATTAATAAATGATAAAATCAAAAGGTCCAAAACAATTTTACATTTTGTGATTTTATTCTTAATTTTTAACTTTATTGATTTTATCTTAATTTATAATTTTAATCTAAAATTAATAATATTTTGTTTATAATTTGCTCAAAATTTAAAATTAAACTGACTTTTGAATATTTTAAAATTTTGAAATTTACCATTGATTATACAACTGACTCGATCAAATGAATTTAAAATTTTTTTATATTAGTATATTAAATGCTAAAGATAATATATGTTTTATAGATATTATGTTGATAAAAAGATTATCTGAAAATATAAAACAAATTTATTTTCTCATACAATTGTGCTAAATTGTGTTAGAATGCTAACATCTGTCATTTTATAATCTAAAATATTGTGAAATAGCAAATTGTGTAATGGTTTAGCCTTTTGACCAAGGTATAGTTAGTAATTGCCAAGATTTTCATTTATATTTTCAATAAAATTTACCGGATAAGAAAATGAATTTAAAAATTCGAAACCTAAAATGATAATTTGATTAGACAAATATTTGGAATGGTATTAGAGGCTAAATTACAGCTACGATAACTTTTTATTTGAATATACTTACAAATTCATAAAAACTTATTGATTATAGAGTATTTGAACTTGAAATCTATTATTATAGAGTATTTGAACTTAAAATCTAAAAACTTATTAATTGTGATCAGTAGAAAAACAAATTTATAATGTTTTTCCTTTTAAAATATCATGTATTATATTAAATATTTAATGACATTATATATTTGAGAAAAATATAATTTTTTTCCATATCAAATTTTGAAATTCTTAAAAAAAGTTTTCCATATTTGTTTCTTGTTTATTTGAAGATTTTACATTATTTTATAAATTAAAATTAATTTACATAAATATTTTAAAAAATAGAGATATGCTACATATCAAATTAAAGTAAAAAAATTACATTTACTGTGAAAATTGAAATATTTAATTTACAAATATTTGTAGGTGCTATTTAATAACTAAAATTTGCTCACGCACAAAAATTAAATTATCCTCTAAAAAAAAAAACTAAATCCTTGTAAAGTGAAATATTCATATTTTTTAAATTAATTATGAATTGAAAAATATAGTGAAATATAATATAATTTTAAAAATTTATAATCTAACATTTAAGGATATATAGTCACGTATATTAGATTTTTCATAAAAGGTTAAACATTATAAATTAATTAATCAAATACTACAAATTTTATATATTCTTATTATTGCATTCTATTTTCTTCTTCTAATTTTAATCATGAGTGTAGTATAGTGTTATTAAATCTAGCCCAAATATTGATCCAGCTAAAGAATTAGACAGATGAATCATTGATTTAATCAATGGATCTACGGTTCAATTAGTAGATCATAAAAATATTAATAATTAATTAAATAATTCTAATATAATAAAAATTATTAAAAATATCAACATAACTGGGTTAAGTTATCTAGCCTGTGTAAATCAACTAATTTAATTCGGTTTACTTCCTCAAATAGTTTTACAATAAAATCGATTCATTTTTGAGACTAATTGGTTCTTTGGATTGACCCGTTGGATCGAGTGTAATAACTATGGCGTAATATGTTTAAGATTTATTTTAAAGTATAGTAAAAATAATAAGAAATAACAAGTCTCAAATTTTAGGATATTTTGCTGTTGGGCCACGTTTATTAGTACTTTTAATATTTTTAAATTAATTATGAATTGAAAAATACAATGAAATATAATATAATTTCTAAAAATTTATAATATACCATTTAAAAATATATATTCACATATATTAAATTTTTAATAAAAATATTAAAAAATTATAAATTGATTAATCCAATCCCGTAAATTTTATATATTGTTATTATTGCATTATATTTTCTTCTAATTTTAATTACGGGTGTAACACATTGTTATTAGATTAAGTCGCTCCAATAAAGGAATTGAGTGGATAAATCATTGATTTAACCGGTCGATCAATAGTTTAATTAGTGGATTGTTAAAATATTAATAATATATATTAATTAAATAATAGTTTAAATTAGTGGATTGTTATAAATATTCTAATAATATATATTAATTAAATAAATTTAAATCATTAATAAAAAAATATAAAAAAAAAATCATTTCGAGTCAATCGGAATTATCCGGTCAAATCAATTTAAGCCCGGTTCACTTAAATAATTTAAAAATTAAGACGCGATTCGATTTTGAGGCGTTGGTTCTCTTGAAGGAATCTTCCGGGTGAATCTCCAGCTTTATATAAGTGATGGTGTAATTACTGGTTAAGTTTATTTAAAGTATAGAAATTAAATAATTATAATATAATAAAAAATATAAAAAAAAAATCATTTCGAGTCAATCGGATTTATCCGGTCAATCAATTTAATCCGGTTCACTTAAATAATTTAAAAATAAGACCGATTCGATTTTGAGGCGGTTGGTTCTCTGGAAGGATCTTCCGGGTGAATTCCAGTTTAATAAGTATGGTGTAATTACTGTTTAAGTTTTATTTTAAAGTATAGAAAAAATAATAAAAAATGAGAATTCTCAAGTTTTAGGATATTTTGCTATTGGGCCACGTTTAAAGCTTGAACTAAGATCCCCAAACCGCAACGCGCGCAACTACTTTCATTCACATTTCACAGTTAGTCTGCAGTGGAGACGATGGCGAAGACGGCAGCGGCGTCGTTTGCGGTGGTGGTTGAAACAGCAGCGGGAGGCGGGGGAGCAAAATCCGACGGTAATACAGTAATGGTAACAGGAGTGAACAAAGGGCTAACCAGAGCCTTAGCTCTAAAACCTGTTAACAATTGGCTGCTTATGTTCTCACGATAAGCTCAATTTCCTCCAATCCAAACTCTTCTTTGACCATAACAACCGCCAACTCCTTCTTAACGATGAATTGGGATTATTTTCCTTTTTCAGCTTCAATTTTTGCTTTATATTTGATTGATTTGATTTTTTAGTTGTTTAAATTTATAATGCGGGAGAAATTTTAAGCTGAAATTTATTCGTTGTAGCTTTACTATGATATTTCCTTTTATTGTTCAATTTGTTTCTTATATATAACATTAGTAATAATATAATTGCAATTTGCTATAAAATATGTTCTGCATAAGTTTTTAATAGGCTATATCTACTGAATGCTAGTTGACTTTACGAAAAAGAAAACATTTTTAATTCTAAAATTCTGAGTAATGCATTTCTGAAATGGGATTTCTATGGAGGGGAAGATGACATGGATAGAATTTTTGCTGAGTCATTTGTTGGGAGAGAAGAAGCAACATTAAGGTTTGAAAATTTCTAAGAATGGACTTCCATATTCCTTTTTATATTCTGAAAATGTATTCTCATTTGTTTGTATATTCTAATAGAAAAATAGTAAAACAACACATATCTGAAAAGAGAGCAACATTAAGGTTTGAAATATTCTAAGAATGGACTTTCTCATTCCTTTTTGTATTCTGAAAATGTATTCTCATTAATTTGTATATCTAATTGGAAAATATAAAAGCAATACATAACTGAAAAGAGAGAGAAGGTCTCAGCAACATATTATAATGTATTAGTTCTTGTTGTTTAGTCTTAAAAAAGTGCATTTGGAAAAGGTCATATATGTCAGAGAATAATGTTGAAATTTGCCTAAATTTATAGGGAAAACAGCCTTTGAGACTCTGGCTTAGTCTTGAGAAAAATGTTCAAAGAGCATCACGGTACATATTGAGTTTATGTATTTGCTTGCTCTTCATTTTCTTTGATGTCTGACTTGATTATGTTGTTGTCTTATATATAGAGTGCAGACTTTTGAATTTAGACATGTTCTTCCCCCTTGCTAGTGCTTTTTCTTTGCATTTGGGTCTCTTCCTGACTTGTTATTGAGTTTTTCTTGTTCGCTTGTTTTAGGGAGGATGCCCTGTATTTTTTTGTTTATTGCTCATAGGTATGCAAGTTAGAAGTTAAACCATTATGGCAATGCTAGGGTTTTGATTTGTCAGGATAGCATGTTTGACTTCTCTTGGTTTTGGCTGGGGTTTCAAAAAATAGGGTTTTGACTCTCTTGATTTTCAGAAAATAGACTGTAGGTTAGTATGCTACTACAATGCCAGTACCCAGTTATTACTGAACAAATGTACCATTACTTCTTTGAATGCTACGAGATTGAGCAGGTACAGGAATGTGATGAGATGGATGAAGATTTGGAATTTGATGACTTGAAGGAGGTTTACAGTTATGATGAGGCGGAGGAGAGCTTGTCCTCTGATGAGGCGGAGAGCCTGTTGTCTTTTGAGACAGAGAAGAGCCTGTCCTCTTATGAGGTGGAGAAGAGCCTGTCCTCTTATGGGGCGGAGGAGAGCCTGTCCTCTTATGAGGCGGAGGAGGATCTGTCCTCTTATGACGTAGAGCTGCACCAAGCCCACAAGGAGGACCTGGAATCTGATAAGGTGGAGGAGGATGGGGAATCTGATGAGCAGGTCCAAGACGCTTTTGATTTAGAGCTGCACCAAGCCCACCTAGAGCAGATGCTTCCACAGCCTTCAATTGCAAGGCAAATGATCCTCAACTGGGTGAGTAACTACAAATTTACATTTTCAATTGTATTATGTAGTTTCCATTCTAAGTTGCGATATGTCATGAATGATTGCAGCATCATGCCCTTACATTTGTGTTATAATGGTGATTAGATAGGAAACAAAATGATGAGTGGCATTACAATAATCAAATTATTTCGGAAATTTGACTAAAGATAATTGAAGGGCTATTATCACAGTGTTCATATTTGTTCTTTACAAAGGAAAGTTAAAATGAGGACATCTATCCCTCTATGTGATTCTTTTTTTTAATTGTTGTATTTCGGTATATGTCTATATAAATGAAACATAACAGCAAAAAGTAAATTCTTTTAGAAGTTCGAAAGGCAAAATTCTAGTATAATAAACTTAAGAAAAATTACCTTCCAAGTCCATTGTAGTTAATCTTTATCATACTTGATCAATTTCACATATGAAACTTAGGCTAAGTTTGGTGCAACTTAATAAAATGTTGGAAATCTCGTACTTTTGTATAAGAAAAGAAAACCAAATGTAACATGGTTGCATCACATTCAACCATAAGCTGCCTTAGGTAATATTTTACTATTATACACCAACTTTACATAAATGACTAGTAATTTATTCTTCAGTATTACTTGCTCTTAGACCTTTTTACCATGAGCCCTATCCCCACTTCCACTGTTGTCGTCACCACTGCTATTTCAATTGCTGGCATCATTGCCATGAAAGATGCTATCTTCACTGCTATATTTCTGCCATATAATGACCATTGCATGATACTTCCAACAGACCACTACAAATGCCAATGTTAATATTACTCTTATTTTGCCACAGCTGGCATTATTTTCTACAATGCTACTGCTAATGCCAATGCGCACCATGATTGGTTCATTGTTCCTTATGTACTCTATTAAAAAAACTAAAAGCACGGTCATTGTATTCTTGTAATATTTTTATTTATGACACTAAACATTTCTTACTATAATTTCACTCTATACCTTATTGCATTATACTGATGATTACATTTCTTTTATTTTATTACTTACTTCCAGAAATTGCTTGAAGATTGATTCAAACAAGGAATTCTGTGGTTGACTACATTGAACTCCATTTGATTGCTTATCTTATTCTGTTTCAAATGCCAAACAAGACTTTTCTGAATATGAATAGGAATTGTATTTTTTTTCTTAAGGAACTGATACTGAAGTGATATATAAACGCAGATGCCTATAGAGAAACTTAATATTGAAAGTTCACAGAAGGGTCCTCTTCTAGGACGTGGATCATTTGGATCAGTATATGAAGGATTTGCTGCTGATGGATTCTTTTTTGCCATGAAGGAAATTCAGTTTTTAAGTGAAGGCTCCCTTACAAAAGTTGAGAAGGAGATTGCTTTACTAAGTCGATTAAGGCATGACAATATAGTCCAATACTACAATGCCCAAAGGATCGACTCAACCCTCTACATTTTTCTTGAGCTTAGTAAAGGCTCCCTTGAGAAGCTCTATCAGAAGTATGAACTTAAAGATTCCCAAGTCTCAGCTTACACAAGACAGATTTTGCACGGTGTAAGTTATCTCCATGGGCAACACATAATTCACAGGGACATTAAATGTGCCAATATATTGGTCGATGTTTGTGGATGGGTAAAACTTGCAGATTTTGGATTGGCAAGGGTAATAGAATCCAGCACTCTTATTAAGTCAAGCTGGGGGACTCCTTGGTGGATGGCTCCTGAGGTTATTGATTCAAAAAAAGGATATGGCGTTCAAGCTGATATATGGAGCCTTGGCTGCACTGTGTTGGAGATGTTAACTCGTCACCGTCCATACCCTGATTTGGAGTCCCAACAAGCAATGTTTACAATTGCGAAAGGAATGCTGCCTCCAATTCCTGAAAATCTCAGTGCTGATTCAAAGGACTTCATCCTACAATGCCTGCAAGTTGATCCCAAAGATCGTCCCACTGCTACTCAGCTTTTGAAGCATCCATTTGTAAAGGAATTATAATGATCAATTTTACGGAATTGGATTCTTCTTTCAGTTCCAACTATGTTATAGTTTTTCTTGCGCTTAATTTCCAATCATGATTTAAATTGGGAAAAGGCTGATCACGGGGTCCTTGCGCCTCGTCTGGTGTGCAATATTAGCTATATTTTTGTTTCAGCGAGTTCTTTGGTGTATTATTTGCACACTGCTCCTGCCTACTGTGACCTATTAGCTTTTATGTACTTAGGAAAAAAAAGTTACATATCATGATTTTTAATAGTTTCTTGGCAACGTCATTTATTTTAATTCATACAAATCTTTTTTTCTCTATAAGTTATTTATTTTATTAATTTTTTAAATTAAATTTATTTTTAATAATTTTAATCGCATTATCTAGTTGTTGAAATATGTTATGATGTTAGAAATCAAAGTAAAGGAAAAGTTAAAAAAAAATAATTCAAATAAAGAAAGAAAATCATAAAATAAATTATCTATGTACCTAATAGTATGTTAAGTGAGAGTCTAAGTTACAAAATAGTTAATTAAGCTCATGTAATCAATGTGTTTTTTTTTTTTTTAATACTCTTTTAGAATATTGAATTTAAAACTTTCTTATCATAAAATTAATTTTGCATTTAATAATAAAAATAAAATAAAAATAATGATGTTGTTAATATATTGTTGACCTAACTTCGTTGTTAATATTAATCTAACTTACAAGTAGCAAGTATTTTTATTACAATAAAATCCAATGGTTTATATAAAAATTAGTTAAATCTAACGGTTATGAAAACTTTTTTATGGATGGAGGTATTTTTCTATTTTCTAATTTTATCCAATAATAAAAATAAAAGCTGCCTCCAAACTAATAAACAGTTACAAACCAAATAATATTTTTTTCCTAAAAAGAGAAAACAAATTATCCTCCTATATTACCAATTTCATAACTAAAATAACCATTTTAGTTAATGATTCATATTTTCCTCTTGCTTTCCTCTTCCTTCTAAATGACATTTGTCCATTTTCAACCATTTTCTACTCTACCAAACAAAACAAAATCATAAAAAGGTAATTATTCTCAAAAAAAAAAAAAAAATCATAAAAAAGGTAATAACTAAAATGGAAAATCAGAAGCCAATTATAATGAAAGAAAGGATGAATCACATCTGGATGATCTTCTCTTTTAAGCAGATTTACCCAGAAATTATTTTCATTTAATCATATATCATTACATATATTTTTTTAAAATTATATATAATCTCTATTGATGCCAGACACTGTTGCGATTGATATTAGAATGAGAGGAGCAAAGAGCTCCGACGGAGTAGATGATCCATCAACTTCTTCCGCCAAGAAAAACTCTGAGAAACCCAAATGTCAGGTTCTTTCTTTCTTTTTCTTATAATTTTCAATGTTAATTCTTTTTCTATTTACTTATTTTATTTGTTAATTAATAAGAAAAACAAGTTTTTCGTAATTATTGCTTGCAGATTCAAGATTTACACAACAAGAGCTTTCTGCCTGCAAACCCATTCTAACTCCAGGATTGGTATTATTTATTATACTCAAATTTCTAAAAATTTATTATTATTATTGTTATTTTATTTCCCTACGAGTATAAAAAAGGTACGAGACTAATGTCGTTTCGAGTTTTTCAGGTGATTGCATCTTTCACCATTTTTGGTGTTGTGTTCCTCCCTCTCGGCCTTGCCTCCTTGTTTGCTTCCCAAAGTGTAATCTGATTTCTAAATTCTCTTAACAATTGCTTAATTATGTTAATAATTAATTAATTAATTAATATGCATATTTTATTTCCTTAATATTAATTAATATATATGCATACAGGTGGTGGAGATTGTTGATCGCTATGACAAAGACTGCGTTCCTGGTAGTTTTAGCAATACCCCACTTGAATATATTCAGAACAGCAAAGCAGACAAAACTTGTACTAGAAAATTAACTGTTAGTCTAATATTCCTCATTTTTTTTCATTATTACTAATTAATTTCAGGTATAATAGTAAATATTTTAAATTAATTTGCATTTTTCAGGTGCCCAAGCAAATGAAAAATCCTGTTTATATATATTATCAACTTGATAATTTCTACCAAAATCATCGCCGGTAAGTGCAATATACATTCAGTTGAAGATACTGTAAGTTTAACCTTATTAGCTCTTACATGCTCGTTTTATATAAAGTCGAGCTTATAATAACCAAATCCTGTACATTCTTTGGTTATTTTAAGGATGTTTTTGATAAGAGCGATCGTGTCAATCATTTTTATATAAAAACGAGCTTATAACAGTTGAATCTTGTTTGTGAACTTGTTTTGATGTTGGTTCCAGATATGTAAGGAGCAGAAGTGACAAACAATTGCAAAGCAAGAATAGCGAAAATGTAGTGAGCGCATGTAGCCCTGAAGATATAGAGAATGGGAAGCCAATAGTGCCTTGTGGCCTTGTTGCTTGGAGTTTATTTAATGATACATATGTATTTAAAGTTGCAAACAAGGCCTTGGATGTTAATAAAAAAGACATTGCCTGGAAAAGTGACAAAGAACATAAATTTGGTTCTGATGTCTATCCTAAAAATTTTCAGACTGGTGACTTAATCGGAGGTGGAACCTTGAATTCAAGCATACCGGTAAATATCTATTTACATTCTTTAGAATTAGGCATGGCCTCGTATTGGTCTTGACCGGAACTGGCTGGTTTCTAGCTGGTCCTGGTTCTGAAATTTGGAGTTGAAACTGGTTGGTTCCAACCATTTCAGCCGAGGAAAAAAAAGAAGGTTCCAAGTCATGCTGTAATTAGCTGGAACCTAAATTAGAACATATGGAATTGGGATTTGGTTTTCTTTTATTTTGATATGTTGGTTTTGCATTAAACAGTTAAGTGAACAAGAAGATCTTATAGTTTGGATGCGTACGGCAGCATTGCCCACTTTTCGAAAACTGTATGGAAAGATAGAAGCAGACCTTCAAGCAAATGATGAAATTGAAGTGCAAATACAAAATAACTATAATTCTTATGGTTATGGGGGCAAAAAGACGCTAGTCCTTTCGACAACTACTTGGATTGGAGGAAAAAATGATTTTCTTGGCATTGCATATCTGTGTATTGGTGGATTAAACTTGCTCCTTGCAATAGGCTTCATACTTATTTACGTTTTCAAGCCAAGGTAAGTGATGGTTCCAAGTCTTCTTTTCTTTTTTTTAGTTTTTCTATATGCAGGTATTGCTATTTGTGTTTCAGAAGATGGTTTTATAGAAGAAAAAAAATGCTTCCTTTTAGTACATATGTATTTAAATTAAACGAAACCGAGGGTCACTAATCTTTGAGACTATTTCTCATTTGATATTGAAGATGCTGAGAAGAACTGTCGACTCACAGGCATAATGGCCCAGTGCATAAATTTGACACTTTCGACTCTTATTCTCGTAGTTACCTGAATTTATGGAGAATCTACCATGACTATGCATTTTCATACATTTCAATAATAACTATATTCCTATTCAAAATGAAATAACTATATGATATTCAAAATGAAATAACTGTATGGGGTTCAATCATAATTCTACACTTTCACATTTTATTTTGACAATGGACATAGTTATGACCGTGAAAGTGCAGGTTATGACTAACCCAACAGAAATCAGAGGGCGAAAAGGAAAATCGATCAAAATTGAGAGTTAAATTTATGACTTAGGCATGGTATAATTTGAGTTAGGAAACACATTGCATATTTCGCATCTTTAAACAGAAATGATGTATTAATATAAAAAGCTAATCACAATAGTAATTTTTAATATTTGAAATATATTTTTCTTTTTTGCAATGTGCAGGCCTTTGGGAGATCCAAACTACTTGTCTTGGAACAAAAACACAACAGCAAGTGCAAATTAGGCAGCTTTAACAATTTATCATTCATAAAACAAGTGAAATGATATGTAATTGAGAATGGAAACCAGGTATTAGGACAGGGCTGTTCAAAATCTGTTGCTCGATTTTGAATCTGAAATTAACTAAGATAATCACAATTTCATCAATTGATAGCTAATAAATGAGGTTATAAAAAAACAATGTAATCCAATTGAAAAGTCATAAATTAGCATGATTAGTTAATTTCTATACTGATCTTACCTTAATCAGAATTTAGAAATATGAATTTTTTTTATACTTGCACGAAGTTTTCAGGCTTGTGTTCGTTTTAGCGGCCGACGATAAACATGATTAATTTTCGCTCGCTCTCGGAGGCAAAGGGGTTGCCCAACGGGAGTTTGCATCGTGGATGATCAATTCTACAAGTGTCCTTTGCTACTGAGCTACCTATTTGAGTTAGAAATATGAATCTTTGTTCCAACTTTTTTAATGGGTATAATTTTTTTTTTCTTTTTTAACTGTTCAGTACCATAGTATCTTTATTGGACTATGGCAATTATTATGTTTCCTTTCTCTCATTCCTCGATCATTGTTAGTAGGGAAAAAAAATTATTAGAACAAAAAGAATTGTCTCATTACAGTCGATTAAGGTTGACAAATGATTTAGTTTATTTGAGGAACTTGACTTTACCATCAATGAGACAATTTCAGATTATCGATAAACAAGTTTGAGACGTGTTCAGATATTTTTTTTATTTATTTGTATATCGGATTCAAGAATTTGGTACTCAATACCTACTATCTTTTGATTAGTACTCTAATAATATCATAGATATTTAATTTTTTTTATCAAATCAATATAGAGATCGTAATTTTTACTTATTTTTAATTCCAAGAAATATAAAAAATAAAATAACAGTTTAGTGTTAAATGAGTTTTAATATAAATAGATAATGGTGATTAAATTTAGAATGAGTTCGGATCTGAATTGAGTTTGGTATCTTATTTATAAATGAGATTGGGTTTGGATATGTTTTTTAATGCAAAATCGGTCTCTGAATTATAGTCAAATTAATATATAAGAAAATTAATTATTAAAAACTAATTATGAGATCTGTGAATTATGATTTTACTAACACCTTAGTTCTTTTATCCAAAAAGAGAACCGGAATATTAACGGAAATTATAAGGGAATAACTAAAGTATTAATGGATATAAATTAATGATCTTATACTTAGCTTGATTATAATTTAAATATCAAATTCTCAATTATTTGACAGTTAAAAGAAGTTAAGACGAAAGAACCAACATATTAATGAAATTATAAATTAAAAATCTCATAATTAATTTTTGAAAATAAAAAAAATTTTTGTGTATTAATTTAATTATGGTTCAATATATTTTTTTCCTATTTTAATTGAATAAATAAATAGTCCGTTGTCAATTGTAACTGCCAGACCGTAAACTAAAAACCAAAATCAATAATCATCTATTTGGCTCCTATCGATTTGGACTTCAACTCAAGTCGAGTTCAGAGCAGAGTTAACTCAACTCGAGTTGATTCAAACAAATCGAACTCGATCGTTCTCCTTCCTTCCTCTGCCCTGTAAGTCTCTACTTAACGGTCAAGTCCACAGAGAAAGCTTCTTCACTTTAGAAAAAGAAAACCGCAACTCTTAACAGAGCCAATTGCGATTCGAGACGTCAGAAATATGCATTACTGGGTTCAAGCTTCTCCCGCTGATTTCAGCGGAACTCCTCCCCGACCTCGCAGGTTATATATTTATGCATATGTATATATTTATATATTCATTTAATTGTTTATTTATTTGGGTTTTGTTTGATTTGGCAGTGGTCACACCGCCGTTGTTGTCGGAAAGTCCAAGGTGGTCTTCTTCGGTGGCCTGATCGACAAGAAATTTCTAAGCGACATTGTAGTATATGATATGGGTATTGTTTTTTAGTTTTCTTTGTTTTATTTTATGCCTTTGTGATTGTTGAGTTGATACTGGATAGAAATTCTTAATTCAAGTAATTGAATTCATTGATTGTGTACTTTGAGGGTGCAAAGCAATGCATAATTGATGATTCAGTAATTTAAGGAAATTCTTTGATTGGTGAGTGAGTGTTGAATTGTGAAAAGTTTAGTGCTTTATTTCCTGTTCTATTAAATAATCAATTTGGTAAATAAAGTTATTTGGTTTATGTAAATGCTACCAATTTTTAAAAATCTATAGATTTTGTTAGCCATGTCTAAAATGCTAACAAAAAATGCATATGAAGTTGTTGAAAATATAAATGCAGCATTGTCTTGTTTAAGAATGTAAATATAGTATAGAAGGTAAAACAAGATCTTTGTGACAACTGCTTCTGCTGCTAATATCTGATATGCTTGTTTCTTCACAATTGCAGTGCAACACCAGTTGCAACTTATAGGAAAAACTAGACAGTTGCTATTGTGAAATGGATTGCATTGAAAATAAAAAATAGATGCGACATATTTAGGTCGAATGAAACTTGTTACATATAGCTGGATTAATTGGATATGTTATCTTAAAAATCTAGAGGGAATCATATTAGAGGTTGTGCTAATATGCAAATGCACACTTAGGTAATTAGATTTAGATATATTGTATATGTATAGGGATCAGGAAAGCAAACTGCTCAGACACAATATTTTCCCAAGATATTTGGGGTTGTGTGTGTGTGAAGAAAGATAGAGAACACAACTGCTAGCATCCAAAATTTGTCTATAAATTCTCAATAATAGGTTTGCTGTTGTTCCAGAGAATAGGTTGTGGTTTCAGCCAGACTGCAGTGGAAGTGGCTCTGATGGACAAGTGGGCCCCAGCCCACGAGCATTTCATGTTGCTGTTTCAATTGATTGTCACATGTTCATCTTTGGTGGAAGGTCCAGCAGCAAAAGGTTTGGAAAATCTCATGTATTAATGCTCTACTATTACAAAATCTCTGTAGACATTTTTTTTATGATTGAGTTGGATCTGCAGGATGGGTGACTTTTGGGTTCTGGATACTGGTAAGACATATTTCTTCAATATTTTTGGTTCTTTTATTAATAATTGCCCCATCCTCTCGCTCTCTCACACACTCGTTTTCTGCCTCTCTCTTTCCACTAATTCCTCCATGTGCATGTATAGAGGTGTCTTTGTATTTATCAGTCTGTGTGTGTTATGTGCATGTCTACACCTATGTACTCGGAAAATAAAGTTGAATATATTTCCAGAATGCTCAATTAAACTTCTTTTTCCCAAACTTGTTGGGGACTAAATGAGAATATGTATGCTTCAGATATATGGCAATGGTCAGAGCTAACCAGCTTCGGTGATTTGCCTTCACCAAGGGATTTTGCTGCAGCCTCATCAATTGGAAACCGGAAAATTGTTATGTGGGTTTTATTCTAATTACATTGTTCATATTACTATCATACCCAGAGTTTAATCCAGTATAATTTAGTCATGGACATTTATTTTAATGCAGGTATGGTGGGTGGGATGGCAAGAAGTGGCTGTCAGATGTTTATGTCTTGGACACAAGTAACCCATTTTTACATTTTTTTTGGCCATGTTATCTGAAGGGACTTCTTATTTTCAGAATTTTTTTTTTTTTTATTCAAGTGATAGTTGCATCAGTAACAGGTTGTATTTCTTTGAACAGTATCCCTTGAGTGGACAGAGCTGTCAGTTACTGGAGTACTGCCTCCACCTAGATGTGGCCATACAGCAACCATGGTTGAGAGACGGTTGCTTGTCTATGGTGGTAGAGGTATAGTCCAGAAGTTTTACACATAGGAACTACAATTTTGTCCCCGAATTCTTTCTTAGTAGTCTAACTCTCATCTGTGGTGCCAAAATAGATCTATTGCAGTTCATCCCAAATTACTTTGAATTACTAATCGCTTATTGCATCTGCTGAAAATACTGGCATTTTGCTGGATTATCGTCTCTTGAGCTATTCCCTTATCAAATACTGACAAGCATAGGTCATAATACAAAACACAATATGAGAGAACTAATGTGCACGTAGAGGTTGATATAAACAAACACGTAATAAGAGAGATCTACCATGATGGTGTGTGATCATTAATTGCATTATTTTTTGTTTTTTCTTTCTCTGTCCAGATATGTCCTGTGTTATATGTATTTGGTTAACAATAAAAGGAGAATTATCATACATTTATATGAGGATTAGCATTCAAGTTAGTCATTTTGCATGTAGCTATCTCCACAAAACTGACAAAATTAACAATACAATTACTTTATTTGGTGTCAACTTGATGTTGGTGTTGCCGACTGTATAGCTTAATAATGTTTCTATTCATTTACCATTTGAGTAATATCTGAGAGTTTGCACTTTAAGCAATGCTTAACTAGCAGAATTATTTTCTGAACTTTGGCAGGTGGTGGTGGGCCAATCATGGCTGATTTGTGGGCTCTGAAGGGTCTTATTGAAGAAGGTTGATGGTCAATCCCTTTCAGCATCATTGCTTAATGATTTTGATATGTTCTATGCTTCCAGTTATAAAATATGGCTTCTAGTGTTGGATGCACATTATAGCTTTGTTTTTCAGTATGCTTTACAAATCTTCTTCTCTCTCTGATCAAATTATTTGTTGTGTTATTTCCATTATACTACGGTGGATGCATGACATGTTCGAGAGATACATTGTTGTCTTTTCCATAGTAGGCACGTCAGAGTAGATTCCCAATGATGAAGATGGTATGATTTAATAAATGGAAAATCTGTTGATATTGGTTGATTTTGACCATCCCTTGAATGATTGGTTGGAGCTGTTAGATTGGATATCATTTCATTCCTAAACCACTAATATGAAATATGCCCCAGATAAGGCAGAATAAAGGATGGCACTAATGTGGTCAGACCCAATTAGTTTGAATTAAATCCGGGTTAAGTTTGGATTTTATGTCCTTTTAAAATCGAATGGCTCCGTGTTGCTGTGTTTGGTCAATTGAAGTCAATTGCTTTTGTGTGAATAGTCACAGCACAAGTAGGTAGTAGGGCATATATCTGTTGGATGGCGTATTGTCACATGAATAGATTACAAGAATACTTAAAGAGAAAAGAATTAGTTAAGAGAACCATTACAATGTTTTTCCTGTAGCATTTTTTTTCTTGGACTACTTGACACTGGAGTGGCTCACTGGCAAAACATCAGGAATATCTTTTTTCGTGCTGAATTATGCTATTTGGTGATGCTGTTTATTTTCTTATGAGGTGTAATATGCATCTGGAATTATATATTTGATAGCCTAGAGTAATCCCATCTTTAGTTTTAGAATGTAATAATAAGATATTAACTAATTGATGGACTTACAGAAATTGAAGTGCTGGTTAAACAACAAAGATTTGCAGTTCAAAATGATTGGAGATCCACTATTATTAATTTTACTAGATACTGAGGTGCATGCCTGCTGTTCACGTGTTTGACCATCAAAATTAGGCATCCATTATTGTGATGGTGATTACTGAATGGACATCTTTTAATGAATATCACAATAAGCCACTGGTCTTTTTTCATGCATAGCTCTGGGAATGGAATTCCATGAACATTAGTGATCCCTTCTATTTTTGGGAAATAGTATTAAATATTTCAAATGAATAACAATCCTTAATATGAGTGGATGTGTTGATTATATTTTTCTTTTCATGTGTGTATACTTGTTGAAGATCTTAAAAGTACAATCATAGCGAGTGCTTCTTAACTTAAACTAAGTTGAGTTTGTGTTTTCTCTTTGTTGTGGAAGGAAGAGAATGAAACACCTGGATGGACCCAGTTGAAGCTTCCTGGTCAAGCTCCTTCTCCTCGTTGTGGCCACACTGTAACATCTGGAGGGCACTATGTAATGACATCTCTGGCTCCTCAATTATTTTCCTTTATTATTATTTTTTTCCTGAAAATAGTTACACTTCTGCCTCAGTATACTGATATGTTGTTACTATGTGACAACTGTTTGTGCCTAGAATAATTCAGGAAGCATTTCTGCTGCTCTTATTTGGATGTCCTGATTCTCATAGGAGAAGGAAGAGAATTTGGTGGATTTAAAACCTAAACTTAAAGGAGAAGTTTTTTGATTTAAAACCTATACTTATACAAGCTTCAAAAATATGCTTTCCCAGGACTAGATTCCTTCTAAGCATGACAGTTACTTTCTGATAAGAGAATTTCAGTTATCTGTGAATCAATACTTAATAATGATGCTTGTTAATAGTAATATCCATTGTTGCTGTAATTTTTGTCCTTTTTCCCACAGTATCACCTCCTTCAGTATTGCTATCAATGGCCAAAAGAGGCAAGTGCCAAAGCATTTAGAGTTGACATTAACTGCGTTTTATGACATTTTATTTTGTTATAATTATAATATTAATAATCATTATTAAAGCACCTGTTTAGCTTTAAAAACAATTTTCAAAAGGAAATGAAAGAAATATTTCCACTCCCTCTCTCGTGCTATGTATCGATCCCTTTCTATATATTATATATATATATATACTCCACGACAGCATTCGAGGTGCCTTGGCAGCAATGTGGAACTAGGTGTATATGATTGATATAAAGAGAAGAATTGGCCATAGTTAATATTTGTATTAACATCTTTCATTTTTTTGGGGGGTCAGTGACCCCATTTTCTTGTTGATAATAAGTAGTGCTGCTGACTACAAGAGTTTCTATTTTTTCAGCTCTTGCTGTTTGGTGGGCATGCCACTGGTGGCTGGTTGAGTCGATATGACATTTATTACAATGACTGCACTGTTTTAGACAGGGGTATTTACTTCTCAAATCACTTATTGGATCACTTAACTAATGTGTTTAGGAAATGATGCCTTTATCATTATGGAAAGGTTATGTTGATAATTTTCTGTATGACCCTGCCCTTGCTAAATCAATACTGTAATTTAATTTCACTCGAAGTTTAAAGCCATATAAAGGAAGATGGTTTCCACCAAAATAAGAAGGGAAGAGGGCAGCTGAACACTATCAATATACATTTACTTCTAAAAGTTAATTCAGCTTTCACATCCTAGTTATCAAGTTTCCATTCGCTCTTTGTCTCTTTAGGAATTTTCTTCGTATTGCATGCTGAAATAATGGCTACTATAATTCATAATTCATTCACATTTTTTAAAACAAATATTTTGATCCAGTAATAATATTCTTTTATATATTAGCCAAGTATTTTGGACCTTTAAGATAAGTTTTATTTTTACTATGGTATATTATTTTTCCTTTTTTCACATCTCAGGATAACAAGTGAATGCCGTTCAAATCAATTATCCATATATCTCTGAATGACTGCATGCTTGATTTGCTGTTGGGTTGAAAGAACAAATAGATTAATATAGTCTCATTAAGAATATTAGAGAAAAAGGACTACCTGAATCCTTGTTATGCTTTAGGGGGCTCAATGTAGTCTTCCTGAATTATCTTATTACTTAAGACACCATCAGTGATTTCTGCTCTCTGCTGCAAGTATGATGTGGAATTGGAATGCAGTTTAACTACAATAAAGCAAAGGCTGCATATAAATGTAAATATAAATAAATATATAAGAGCTAAACAATTTTCCTATGCTTTAGAGTATCTAGCTTCAACTTTTTTGTCATTTCTATTCACTAAAAACATAAAAGACAGTTTAAAATATCAAGGGGGTCAATCTTTGTAGCATCTATTGAAAGGACTTGCATGCTACTGCTGGCAGATACTGTTAAATAGCACCAGTATGCTGGTTGCACTACTAGATTATAACCATCTTCCAACACATTATAAAACTTTTTTTCCAATTTGAGTTTTCTTATCCTAACAATTGGTTTAATTTTTAAAGTGTCCGCACAGTGGAAACGATTACCTACCAGCGGTGATCCCCCTCCTGCTCGAGCATACCACACAATGACCTGTATTGGTTCACGATATCTTTTATTTGGTGGTTTTGATGGGAAGTTGACATTTGGTGATCTATGGTGGTTGGTTCCAGAAGGTACTAGATTTTGCTTATCTTTGAGTGGTTTTTTCCACTTGGGAATTACTCAAATTAATGAATTATCTTACACAAAGTTTGTCGTGCCACTTTACTCGACAAAATTTTCCAATTCCAACTTATCATTCAGCTAGAGAAGTTGCAAGTTGTTATTGTGTATCTAAAAAGCCCAAAACTATGGTAAAAAAAAGGGATGTTCCAATTATTCATCCCTTTTGAAATCTGATTGTTTCTTCCAAATTCCATTATTCAACTAAGAATAAGTCTTGGTTTAATGCTAAGGCTTTCGTTGTGAAATGAAGTCCGCGGTTTCAAACCACTGAGACAAACATGTATAAATATATTTGCATCTGATCTCAGGGCTTTAATGCAGGAAGCCTCATTAACTGGACCACCTTTCACTTATGTCAGTAAACAGACTCAAAATGAGATTTCCAGTTATCTATCAGATTTCAGATTTGCATAAAAGCATACTGCATCGATTCTTCTGTTGCAGAATGCCAAGTCAGATCTTTCATGTGTTAATTAACATGCTGTATGTTGTTTCCACATTTTGCTGTTTTCTAGGAGACCCTATTACAAAGCGGTTGGCTGCATCTCCACAGGAAATTCTTCCTCAAAGTAAGGATTTGGGCATGGCCAAGGAAGGTGTCCAATCTGCATTTAAGGTATCAAGGCAACTTCAGTCCTCTCAACACCATTTCTAACTACCCAATTGGTCAAGGAGCTCTCTACTATCTCCTTGTGCTTAATAAAACTGACATTGGTCCGTATTTTGACAAACATATTTTTATATCAATTTTTTGCCAAAACTATGATGCATATACTGGAAGAGAGTGTACCTTGATTGAACTTCGTGCTATCTTTTATGTGGGAAAATACATTTTATCAAATAACCTTCCGCATGCAAATTCCATCAAATGGGACGAGTCATGCGATGTTGTGAACATAGAAAATTTTGTTTAAGCGTTTGATTCTTTTTAATGGATACTTCAGATTTTTTGTTATATTGTATATCGATCACAGTAATTTACCTTTTTGGCTTTTTCCTATAAGATATTTGAATGACACAGCATCTCTTTCCCAGGAAAGCCAAAGGGAGGAATCTGCTATTGCTGAATTACAAAAGAGATCAGAAATTTCAGTTTCACTCTCAAGTTCTGGGCTTCAAATTGTAGATGAGTTCGAGGATGCAGAACTTCTTGAGCTTGCTTCAGGATTTATGGGTGATAGAGTCTCTAGCAATGAACAGGTTTTGCACAGTCATCCAATTTTGCTTTTCTTAATGATGTATCTTTTGTTGTGTATACTTTACTGACTATAATCTCTGTGGTTAAAATTAAAAAAAAAAAAAAAAAGAAAACTCTGGCACTTCGTGATCACTGGAGGAAGTCTACACCCAGTTCTATACAATTAAAGGAGCTTGGACCCTTGCTTCGCGACTATCAACGACTAATTGCTCGCTATCATTTGTAAGGAAAACTCACTCGTTGCAATTTATAACCGCAAAAGCAGTAGTTGTTTCTAGGATTAGCGCCAACTTCATTTTTGGATGCCAGCTACTGTCAGACCCAGATTATCTTGGGGCTCCATCATGCTCAAATTTCTATCTTTTCTGTTTTTCTTGATCTGAATGAAATTGTGGAGTTCTTTGATCATTGAAGAAAAATACACATCAAAGGACTTCCTTGTTGATACTTGGATATCTCATAGAGAACGGAGCAGTACATTAAGTTTTCATTTGATTTGAAACTTAATGAAATCTTGCAGTTCCCATGAACAAAACAGCATAGTGTTTGTGACAATTGACAGCTTTTTAATGAGATGATCTGAGGTATAGAAGACGACCTAGTTTTATTTTATGATGCTGACTGCTTGAAAAGGTAATGCTGAAATTCCATGGAGCTGAAGTATGGATTTTAGACTGAGGTTACGACCTTGAAAACAAAAAACTAGAGTGATTTTGCAGAAATGCAATAGTTCTTTCTTTTGGTAATCCTGAGAGCATTAAATGTGATAATCAGGATCAATTTGGTATTATATCAGTTTAGAAACATGTTTCTCCTAGTTGAGTCATTCATTTTTAAGATAATCTTGTTCAATTATCTTTTATTATTGTCATGATCCTCCTTTGTTTGGGTTTGTGTGGACTGTTAAACAGAGCAAAAGGCGGAGCTGATTTGCATTCAATGGAATCTGGTTTTCCTGGGAAATATGCTTATCAGTTTTATCACATGAAAAATGCTTCTCAGGTATTCTTGTTTGTTTCTTTTAGCTATAATGGAAAATTTTGAAAGATTCGGACATACCTTACATTTAAAAGCTGCTATATAAGTTTTGAGGTTAAAAAATCTGAATCTTCTCTATTCTCTTAGGCTGTGTTTGGTATGGTATGATGGAAAGTAAGATGATGTTATCATATGCCATTACATTACGGTATACGAAACATAACCTTATAGCGAAAAGTGAATTACTTTTTACCTGCCATCTTTGTTCTAGACATTATGAGGGAAGGGTATGTGTGCCTACAATTGATCAAATATGTTTGTCGATAAAAGTTTAGGACAATTAAAATAGTATCCTCTAGATGATGTTAGTACTGGAAAATCTCTCTCTCTCTCTCTTGAATGGTGTTGATAGTAGAAAAAGTTCCTCTCTTTTTTGTTTATGTCGCAATAATGGTAAGTTCGGACTTCAAGAACCATGAGGCCCTTTCTGAGCTATGTCTGAATATTGCAACTTTGCTCTCATCAACTTGTTATCTTAACGCTTCATTCACTTTCAGCATGCTTTTTTAAATCAATTGGTTTCACCTCTAACATGTCGAGATTGAGTTTCAGCTACGAATGGATGACATCCCGAAGCTCCTGGAAGAGTACAAACAGCTGCCATCTGATTGATGAACAATTTGGCAGTCTCCTTTTATATGAGCAAAATTGCCATTTGAGTTTGCAACTTTGCATCTGATCAGAGTGACCTTTTCGTAAATCTTCCTTAAACAGATTCTGATGCATATTGACAAGGGGATGCTTTGATTTTTACATGTACCATTTCGGATCTGTTTTTATTTAGTCATTGTTTAGTACAGCCTCTATTGACTATTTTCACTATTTCAGTATTCAGATGTACATTTGTCAATGCTGTAATGGCATTGTGTTTGAAAGACAACACTACTTATGTATCTAGATTGCCTCAAGGTGAGAAATATTCAGCTGCCTCAGGGCAACTTTGTTATTATTTTTGGCAAAATGCATACTTAAGCTAGGAGTGAACACGATTCCCAGAACCACTGGTTTTGGTATTAAACCTGCCGGTTCCAATCATAAGAAAAGTGGAACCACAAAAAGGAACCGCTTTTTGATGCTTTTTAAGACGGATTTGGAATCTCTAGTTTCAGTTTTATTCTGGTTTAGAACCAAACTTAGATAATTTTTTTCAAGCTTAATTTTTTTTTAAAGGTTTGTAGTTTGAATAAATAATAATAATAAATATTACTATTGAAAAACACCAAACCAATTTAATAAAAAATTTTAAAATTCAGTTAAAAAACTATAATAAAACAAAAAATAAGACTATAATAAAACAAAAAATAAGTTGGGGTTTCGATTTAGTATGGTTTTGATTTAGAAGCCATTGACTGCGATTTAGTGCTGGTTGTGACCGGTTTGATTTCAATTCAATTTTAGTTTAAAATCGAATTGTGGTCATCTCTAACTTAAGCAACTGAATTTATCTTTTTTCTTTTTTTTTCTCATTATCGATTTTTATTCATTAAGCTCTTAAATTTTTATTTGTGGACATTGAGCCCTTGAACTTTTATTTAGTTTAAGTAAATTGACTGAAAATAAATGGCAATTTAAGTCCCTAACAATAGGGCCTAATTTTAACAAAAAAAAAAAGAAAAAAGTTTAAAGGTTTTATTTTAATAAAAATAAAGAAGTTGAAAATATAGAAAGAATCTTCAATGGAAAAAGAATAGTTAATTATGTATAAAGAAATCCGTTAAGGATATTTTCGTCTATTTATTTATTAATTAAATTTTTTCTAACATAAATATTTTATACATCTTTTTTATTGCAAAACTGATTTTATTTCCGGATTTGTAATTCCTCCCGTACAAATGTTTTCTGCACGTTAAACTCTTCACCTTACAAAAGTGGTTAGTTGTACTCAAGTTTATCACTTGAGCTTACTATAATTTAATTTATTTATTAGTATAATTATGGCCCTAGCAAATGGGTCTATGGAAGCCAATCATGTGTGATTTAATTGGTCTTTTTAGTTCTCGTAGAAGACATAAAAAGCGAAAGGTCTCAAATTCGAATCTTCTCTACCACAAAGATTATCATTAATTTAACGAATGTTATTCAAAGAAGAGGACTAGCCCAATGTTAGTCATTGGGCCTTAAAAAAATCATGAAATTAACGTTTGAGTTAAAAAGTTCAAGCACAGCTTTATTATTATGCTTATAAAGCAAAAGTGCACAACAATGCTTAATATTAATACATCAGAAGCCTAATAGCAAGAATACAAGAAATTCTTAATAATGGAGAAAAGAAAACTACAAGAATAGTGAAAATGAAACTTAAGAGATGGATTCTACATTCTTGCTGAGTTCCTCCAGTTTCTTCATCCTCATTCTTTCACTTTCAGTCAGCAGCTGATCAAACAAATAGTGAAAATGCAAATGAAGCTTTCTTTCTTTCTTTCTTTACAGAGAAAATTAAGAAAATACAAAGCATTTGTAATTACATACATACATACCTCCATTAATGTAGTAACTAGCTGAGTTTTCTCTTTGTTCTTTTCATTGAAAGCTTCCAGTGCTTCTTTATATTCTTTCTCCTATCATCAAACATAAACATAAGATTAATTATATTTATATAAAAATAAAAATTATTCTGAGTTCCAAAAAACATGCATAGCTCACCTTTTTCTGGCAGCTCTGTCCTAATGGTTTCAACTCTCGATTAGCCAAATCAATCTTTTTTCGTACCATTGCAACTTCTTTTCTCATTGGATCGCACATCACTTCAAGCTCCTAATCATAAAAATCACACTAATCGAGTTAGATTTTCTTATTATTTAATACCCTATTAATCCAATAATTTAGATTTATTGCACAATACAGCTAGGGTGAGCATTAGGTTAATTGAACTCAACCGAATTAACTCGGTTTTGTTCTATCGAAATAGAACTTAATGTTATAAAAATTGATTCGAACCTAATTAAATCAATTTGTTTTGAATATTGAATGTGCATTTCAAATCAAACTAGTTATTTTGAGTTTAAAAATAAATTTAGTTAGTTATATGTAGTAACCGAACCAAAATAAAAAACTAAACGGTTTTCTATATCCAAACCAATCAGTAATCAAAATTTTAAAACAATTATCTGAATCCGATCAAAATGAGTTGATTTGGTTTAATTTTCAGTCAGAAATCGAGCATTGCTCACTGCTTAAACAGAGGTGTTAAGAATTCAAATCCTAATAATCTCTCATTTTAAACATTTTTTTGTGTAATAAGTTCGGAATTGTTAACATAAAAAATAAGAAGTACAAATTTATCAAATAAAAATTGGAAAAATGTAAAATTTGCTATTTCCATTAATTATTGAATTACTTACTTCCCAAATTTGAGTCAATCGTCTTGTTTCTTCTTCAGCACGACCTAATTGAAGTTCAACTTTCTCTCTAACCTCCATTTTCTTCCTCTCAATCTCTTCTTCTCTGGCTTGAAATGTGGAAATGGCAAACCTTGAAGCCTCTTCTTCTTCATTATTACTATTCTCATCCATTGATAGCCTTCCACTACTTCCCATACTTCCCATGTTTCTCATTTTTTTTCTTTTTCAAATGCTAATAATAATCCAAGACTGTGTTCTTCTGTGTCCTCTTGTTATTATATATGTTCTACCTCTCTTTGTTTTTGTTGTTGCTTGAAAATTCATTCTCAAAAGCAAGTTGCTTTCTTTGGACAAAATTCTGAAGAAAGCAAGAAAAGATATTATTTACCACAAAAGAGAAAAAGCTCTCAAAACTAACTTATTGCTTTCACTTGAAAAAATTATAAAGAAAGCAAAGGGAACATATAAATTCAAATAATTTTAATTAATTAATTAATTATTATATTATTAACTCAATATAGTTAAATCTATGTAATTAATTATCAAAATTAAGTTGATGCATTGGTCAAATTAATATATTATAGCACCTTTTGTGAGAAAAAGTGAGAGGATTCACTTAAAAACCAAATAAACAAACAAAAAATTAACTTACCTGCTTAATTATATATATTTGGTAATTTTTCCTACCTATCAATCATATGCTTTTCTTAAAAAAAAAAAAAAAAAAAAATTCAATCATTATGGCTTTTCTTAAAAAATAAAAAAAAAAAAAAAATCCTTCTTATATATATTTTTTTTATATTTTTATGTAAATTAACTTCATTTTATGAGTAATTTTTGAAATTATTAAATATAGAGGTAATTTTGAATTGATGAAATTATGAACGTAAGAATATAGTAATAAAACTTCACTTTAAGTAAATTGTATGGATTATATTCAAGATTCTTTTTGTTGTGGCCGGTAGAAAAAATAGAACTACAATCCGTGAAAAAAAAAAAAAAAAAAAAAAAATCCTTCTTATATATATTTTTTATATTTTTATGTAAATTAACTTCATTTTAAGTAATTTTTGAATTATAAATATAGAGGTAATTTGAATTGATGAAATTTGAACGATAGAATATATAATAAACTTCACTTTAAGTAATTGTATGGATTTATAAGATTCTTTTGTTTGGCCGAGAAAAAATAAACTACAATCCGTGAAATTAATAGACTCTAATATTTTTTTTTTTTTTTAATCTTAAACCTATCGTTTTGGAAAAGAGAAGTGGTGGAATTTTCTGAATTCTATTGTTTTCATTTATTTCAAAAATACTTTCAAATCTATAAATTATACTTTTGAACCAATGATATAAATGTGAAATCTCACTGATTTCACAATGAATATTTTTTTTTAGTTTTGGATAATAGATTCGAACTCGGATTTATTGTCATGTCATATATGTATTTATCATTAAGACTATATCTTAATATGCAAAATCACAGATTTTGAAAATCCATAGATTCTTTATTTCATCATTTCAAACGACATCATAAATTTTATTCTTTTTCTTTTTCATGGATTACAATTCGTAAAATGATATGATTTGAAATCTAGTTTATAGTTGAATTTTAACCTAATGGCAGTTTTCTATTAGAACGCAGAAGTCATATTTAGTGTTAGTGGTTAGAGTGTCACATTCCTTGCAAGAACAAAATTGATGTGGCAGTCTGCACACAATACAATAAATCACTTGAACGACAAGGCAAAATTCATTTATATAAAATTATAATTAACGAAATGTTGATAAAAATCAATACTTCATATTAATATATATATATATAAGTATACAAAATATATAAAAATATATCCTAAATTTTAGGATCAATTTAATATAGTTTTGATTAAAAAATATATAAAATTGCTTACTTTAATTTTTTTTAAAGCATAAAATATATTTGTCTTTTTTTATACTATTTCTGTTCCTAAATATTTATCTTTTTTTATTTTTTTCAAACTTCAAAATATTTTTCATTTTATCGTTCCATGGTGATATTTATATTTTTTTCCTAAACTTGAATGATAATACAGTTCATTTTAACTATTTAATCATTCAATACAGGCTGTCGTAAAAATGAAACTTTTTGAATATTAAAACTAAATAGGTTAATAAGATTAAGCTTTTGGATGAATTAATATGACCACGCAATAATAATTTTGACTAAAACTTTTACAAAACAGTTGATTATCCTAAAAATGACAAAATATTAAATTTTCAATTTTAAAATGAATTTGGACTAAAATATTTCATAATTAAATTAAATAAACTCCTGTTTTTGGTGCACTAACCCAAACAAAGTTTAATCGACAGACACAAAGCGCCACCGAGTAGTCTCACATAGCAGTTTCGCAGGGACTTTTTATCTTCTCTTCTCCTCTTCTTCTCTTTACCAAAATTCACTGCACTCTCTGCAAATATAGACACATACAAACTGCAAATACGATCGGTTACTACTAGAGATAGATCAATCAGTCAATCATGGGTTCCCCTAACTCACAGCAATCAACCGAGGTTTGATTTTTTTTCTCTCTTCATATCTCTCATGGAATGGAAAGGATTTTCATCTGATTTGTATTTCTAATCGCTTGTAGCCAGTGTTAATAGAATCTGAAGATTTTCGTGCTATGAATCCTGTCATGTACTTGACTGGGTACTGGGAATTTCTAGGGTTTTGACACTTTTTGAGTTGACTACGAATTTGATCTTGCTGCTGCTGCTTCTTCTTTATTGTGACATTGTGAACTCTTTCTAATCAAAACATTTCAAAGGGTATACATATATAGCGAGAGATTGGTAAATAGATTGCGGAATCAATTGAATTAGCTGCTTTTCTCTCTGGTAACTAAGAAATATGCAATCTAGAAGGAATGAAGAGTATGTTACACTATCTCCGGCATCTAAGCTAAGGAATCAACACAGATATGAAGTAGGACATAACTCGTATCCAGTATCTCGTCGTGATGCTGTGGATCGGTCTCCCCGCGTGCAGCAGAGGAGTTTGAGTCCACGTAGTAAAATTGATGGGTCTAGAAGGATATTACTAAGAGAAGGAAGAAGTGGTCCAATTGAAAGGAGGGACTATAGTTGGCATCTTGGTGCAGGAAGGAATGAAAATATCCGCTCTGGTTCACCCCATTTTGTACCAGAGCTTAGAAAGCCTCACTTTGATGAGGGTGTTATGCGGAGGAAATATGAATATGCTGATGATATTGATTATGATGATGTTAAAAGTAATAGACTACAGCATGTTTATGGGTATGATCATCATGGTGAATTTTCTAGAATGAGTAAAGAGAAGGATTATGATCGGAACAGGATTGTTGATATTGATAGGCATATGATGGTGGCGCCAAAATCAATGCCCATGGAAGATGGCACTATTAGAGGGTTGCATCGGGTGCCTACAGATTTCATTCCCACATCAAACTATGGGAAAACTGCTGAGCACCTACAATTGCCATCCCGAGGTATGGATATGAGTCAATATGAACATGAGAAAATTAGGCATCGGAAGCCAATTTCTCCAGATAAGATGCCAGAAATGGAATTCTACAAAGAAGGGGAGCAACCCTTGTTTGGCTCAAGGGATGATTCATATGCCATTAAGCCAGCTTCTCACTCCAAGGATTTTGGGAGAAGTCATTTCAAAGATTTTGCTGGCCAGTCTTCAGGTGTTTCAAGTAGTGAGTTTCTAAGTTCTCATAGGGAAGGCATGCCCATGTCAGCTTCTGATGAATATCCAAGGAACGGTGTGAAACTAACAGAACCTATGGATTTAAGCACATATAGTCAAAGGTCATCTGTAGGTATAAGAAACCTCGAAACTGGTAAGAGAATTATGCCAAGTTATGCGCATGGGGCCTACAGCCCTGACAGGATTGAACACAATGATTATGTTTACCCTAAATCACAGGGATTACTGAATGATGACAATATGTATCCATCTGAATTGCACAGAATGATGCCGTCACGATCTCAGTTGGATCACGTGCAAGCTCGAGCAGATTTTGAGTATGGAGAATTATCAAGAATGAGTATTGTGCACTCTGTTGCAGATAAGATCGATCCTACAGAGAATTCTTACAGAAACATGCGAAATAGTGACACATGGGACCATACTATGCCCAAGCAGGCAGCTATGGAGAACCTTGACACAAGTAGAATATTATACTCCACAAAGCATAGTGGGGAATATTTGGATTCTGAGTATAATCAAGTTGAATTTGGAAGGAGAGTCTCACGAAATAGTGAAACATCTCATTTGGGTATAACACAGGATCACCAAATCTCACATTTGAGATCAAATTATGGGTTTGGAAGAGATGCAGGTCCACAATTTGAAAAAGAAAGATTACACGATCCAGTTATGTCCTTGTATGAATTGGAGATGCAAAAATTTCCTGTCAAAAGACACAGAATTAAGGAGGAGCTTGATATATATGAGCCATCAGATAAAGTGCATAAACGACATTGCAGGGAGGAAAATGTCAATAGGCATGATCCCAGAACTATTTTGCCAAGCAAACAGTATAGACCACAAGTATATGACGATGAATATGGCAGTGGTGAGGAGTGGATTGAGGGAAATCTAACTGCCTTACATCCATCCAGGACTAAGAGATTTGACCAAAATGCATACAGAAAAGCTAAGAGGACATATGATGGGCATGAACACCGTGGAGACTTTGCATCCGAGGAGTGGTTGTCTTCTCAAGATTCTTTAGCACAATCGCGAAAGCATTCAATTAGATATTATAAACCAAGTGTGAAATATTTGAAGGGCCATCCAAGATCTGGTTCTTTAAGCTGGCATAACTCACACCAGACTGATAAAAGAAGTGGTATTCAAAGAAAGCACAGAACTTGGAAAAGAAGTGATGAGTATGATGAGGATGAGCAGTCAAATGATCATGATCTATCAGAGGATTGGGGGAAAATGGCGGCCTCAGAGCCCTGTGAGGACTCTGAGGAATTTAAGCAACTGGTTCATGAAGCCTTTTTAGAATATTCTAAAAAATTAAATTTGAACTCGGCAGTTCGAAGAAGATACAAGGAGCAGGGAAAAGCGGGTAGTTTGTTCTGCATCGTATGTGGCAGAAGGTCTGTTTTCTTTTCTGTGACGTGTTTTTTTGACATGGAGCATATTT